TTTTTTCTCTCTCATAATGGTCCCACTTCCATTGAGTGTGCATAAGAAAAGTTTTTGATTCCTATCACATGAGAAATATAAAGTCCTTATTTTATTTACTTATTTATTTTTTTCTAATTCTTGATAATTATTAAAGGCTTAATAAACTTAAATAAATTAATAGGCTTAGATCAGACCTTTTAATTTTTAAATATATAAATTAATCTATACCAGACTAATACGTTAGGACAAGTTGAAAACATTTTGCATAGGCCTTATTTATTTAGATCAAAGGTTAATGTGACTCAGTTAATTTATCTTATAAAATGATTTTGTATATATAGAACTTTTTTTAAGCCAACAAGAATGATTGCTAAGAAAAACCTTGACTAGTATGATATATCTCTTTTTTAAGTAAAATTAGTCACCAGGCTACGTGCCAGTTTGATGTTGCATTTTGCAGCATATAATCCTATATGACAAAGTATTTTCGCTTTCTAATGTTTTCATTGATCATGGGATTAAGACATGGAACAAGGTTCTTAACTCCCTTAGAAAAGGGATGTTGGAAATTGAGTAAACCATCAATTAGAGGCTTGGTTCCTTTTGGGCGGCAACAACCTTGAGCAATTCAGATTTGTCCACATGAATGTGTAAGCTAGCTAAAGGTTTCAAGGAAGAAGACAGATTTCGTACACTTTGTTGACTGAATTATCCACGTAGATTATTCCTTTGTCAGGTCCAAAAGGCTGAACATTTTCTTTCCACCCTTTATCTTAACGCTAAACCCATTATTTTGATTCCAACCACTTCTGATATGACATTTATTTAGGTAAATAAATCATTTTTATCTTTGTATGATAACGGCCAATATAATAGTTTTATACTTAATTAATATGAATTTTATCATGCTCATCCACTATGGTCGGGAATCATCTATTCCGGATTGTTCCAAGTTTATATAACCCATGACTTTTATATATGGAAAAAAGAAATATTATTTGAAAGGACATAAGTTATGTTCTTTTAGATGATTTACATAAAGTATGACAGGTCATATTTTATGTAAATATGAAAAGTTATTTTTTTTTCTCTTTCCGGTCACATTGCTAACGTGTAAAATGGAAAAAAAGTAACTTCTCAGATTTACATAAAGTACAACCGGTCATACTTTGTGTAAGTCATTAAAAGGACACAATTTATGATTTTTTTCTCTCAACATGATCAAATTCAAATATGCTGAAAATTCTAAAAAATGTCATCAATTGGAACGATTTTAGAAGTTCAAAACAGGTTCAAACGGGTCACTGGTTCACTAATTTTAACACTTCTTAAATTTCTTTATTATTATTATTAAAGCTTTCAATCTTAATTAAAAGGTGTAATACGTTTACCGAAGAAAAATAAAAGGTGTAATACTAATGAGACCAGTGAAAGGATCAATTCTCAGTCTGACTAACCGATCTAGTTTTCAACGGTAGTGTGAAAAGTCAGCTCAATTAGAAAAAGGACTGATATTTATTTGTTTAATTTTTCTTCACCTTGTTTAATTTTATTTATTTGTTTTTGTCCACTATACTTTGTCCAATAAGATAATAGACTGCTTCACTTCTTAAACAACTGCATTATTATAATAACAGCTACTGAATAAAAGTATACATGGTGGGAATTTCCTGTTAATTTATTATTGTCAGTGTACAACAAATGGGTCTTTTTTTTGTTTTGTGCCGGTGGGTGGGGGGTTTAAATACTACATTCTCTTATACAAGTTTGTGAAAAATATTAACTATTAACATATCGCGAATAGTATACTTAAATTTAATGTGATTTGACTAAATATGAATACATTAAATTGTAAGAATTAATTAAATATATTATAAATAATATTATAATGCAACTTTTTTAAAAAAAAATTGCAATTTGTTTTAAACCACGGTTATGATTCACGAGAAATAATTCTGTTCATGACAAATACAGAATTAAATTTTTAAATTCATTTAAAAAATGATACTATAAAGGATCTGCAAATTCTCTCTTCATACCAGTGTTTTAAAATTTCACCCCGTCTCCCGGGTTGATTCGGGTCAACCCTGACCCCTCCCCTCTGAGGGTTGGGGTCACAAGTTGGATCCTATATGCACATCGATCCCTCTAATTCCCAAAATTCGGCCGGGTTTCAGTGACTCCCGGGTCAGAGGAGTCAAAGGGAGTCACTGCATGTTTTTTTTTAAAAGAAAATTCAATGAAACAACGTCGTTTTATTAAAAAAAATAAAGTAAAAATGCTTGCAAACCTAAATCTAATCGTTCTCTTCTCTCCCAACGACCTAGACTTGTGGTATCTTGATACTTTGGTATCATTAGAATATGAGTTTTGTACTTTAGTATATTGATACTTTAATTAAGCTATGTAATATTGACTTGTGGTTGTAATTGGTGAATTATGTTAAGTATATTTTGAATCTTTGATAATTGGTGATTTATTTTTTAATATTTTTTTATAGGATATATATATTTATATATTTTTAATATATATAATCGGGTTAGCGTAATAATCCTATGACCCCCGATTAAATCCGTGACCCATAACCCTGACCTCGGCTAGGCCGGGTTTTTAAACACTGATTAATACAACTTTTTCTTAGTAAACTCTCTCTCATTACTATTACATCTTTTATGAACAAAGTTGTAAACCATTTTTACAATATTACTTAATTTGACCTCCCCTATTTTTTTCGCCTCAGTCAATTTTCTAATCCAATCCGTAACGACTTATTTGACAAGCAACACCTCTCATATATTCTTGATAATTTTTTTTAGTTTCTTATTACGAACGAATCTATTTCATATCTTTCACATATATTTTCATATTTATTAGTATTAATCATAAGATATGAACTTAAAATTAAAATATGAAACAATAAATAACAATCTTAAATGGATTTCAGTTCAAACTCAACAGAAACCAGGAAAATCAACACACTCGTACCTATACAAATGAAAATAAAAAATAAAAAATTGAAGTTTGTCAAGTGACCAAGTATGAGAATATTCATTTTAGAATTTCAATAGATAGATTAAGCTCACGATATATAATTAAATCACAGGTGAGAGTATACTGTTATTTACTCATTTTATAGACAAGCTAATTTTAGAAGAACCTTTATCCACATATAAACAAGAAAATGGCACCTAAAAAGGATTTAAGAATTATCAAATTTAACCCCAGGGCTGGCATAGCTAGTAAGGGTGCAAGGAGTGGATTAATGGGATTGAAAAGGTCTCCGGTTCAATTTTTAGGTGAAGCAATTTGGGGTTGTTAGTCAACCTTCACGCTTCACGCCACGAAAGGGTTTAACTAGTCTCATCTAAATGAGTGACACTGTAGGAAATCAATTTTTTTTTTTTTTTTATTTATCAAATCTGAACCAAGTTTTATAAATAACTTTGTAGGCTTCATTAATAATCGATGGTTCCATTCAGTTTTTGTTGGCGTGTATACATATTATTATTAATTTAGGATATAACCTTATAGCAATGCCAGCTTGTAAAGTTTCACAAGGGTGTTTGAGTAGTCAATATTTTTACTGTAAAAGAGGAAAAAGTTATCTGGCGTGTAAATTGTTGTTGATGAGTGTATCTCTAGCATTCCTTCCCTTTTTGTGTCCGCAACTAGTCTGAAAGTGAAAAAGAAAGTGAACCCTTGTTTACCAAGAAAAGAAATAGCCAAAAAGAAGCATCTTCATTAAAAATCTGAAAAAATAAAATAAAATTGTCAATATTGTTATTTGATAAGACTACATGTCATAAGGAACTTAAAAAGAATGGTCTCTTTAATGAAAATATTTTCGGCTACTCAGTACATTCTTTATTATATTACCCTTACTTTTATGATTATTTTCTTCCATATCATTCTTTTTTTAATTTTTGGTAAGGGAATATCTACTCCCATTGTTCCAAAAATCTACTCCTCTTTATAATAGACGACTAGAGGCTGTAAAATTCAAAGAAATAATAAAAAGAGGGGTAACAAAATGTCTGAAGAAAAATCAATGGCATCAAGGAATTTAGACCGCATATGAATGCGCTGAATTATGTCTCTATCTTATTTACCTTTTTATAATGGAAAGCCCATTAGGTTTCTGAATTCTACTGGGAATCCTGGAGTTAAAGTTCCATTTGCTTTTAATATGAATATAAAATTAGATGCACTTTTCTGGTAATTTTTGATACCCCACTTTGCAAGATGCAGTGCCAACCTATGGAACAGGATTTTTTGAAGTCTATAATTCATTTTCTTTTTGAGAAGGAAAAGATTTGATTTTCTATATATATTTACCATCCGAATCCATTATAAGAATAATTGCAGATATATCATGTGTGAATTTATGCCAGTATCTTTATCTAACATTTAATTACTACACTATAGATGTCCATACTAATATTCTCCAATTTTAAGATGATCCAACATGGGACTGTTTTTTAACCTCTCATGTGTGTCCTATTTAGCTTCGTTGCTTTAGTTGTCCTCTATGGGACTTATTTTAACCTCTTATTTGTGATTCATCTATAGTTTAATTGGGAATGAATCCTCTCATGTGAAAAAGTGATTATATGGTCATGTTATTTGATCACAATCACCCAGTTTAATTACTTTAGTTTTCCTCTCTTTTCTTCTTCGTTTAAATTCACGTGAAGACAACATTAGACAAAACTTTTTTGTTTGTTTCTATGTACCGTACTTTGTTAATGTCAACTTATTATTTGTTCATTCTTATCTTTTTCTAAGAATAAATGACCTTGCATGGTAGCATTTAGACAATTAAGATTCAGATCTTATACCTGAAGCCTTCAGGGAATATAAGAGAGAATTTTATGCCATAGGCTCGAATCAGCATTACTATTGTAACCTTTCCAATCTTCTTTTTGTTCTTCTTCTTCTTCTTCTTCTTCTTCTTCTTTTCACCTCCTTCCATTTGGTGCTCCTTAATAAAGGATGAGCTTCTAAAGAGTTCTGTATGCTACCTCATAAATTTTAACAAATATCTATTGGCTGTACTGACCATCGAAGTTCTTATTTTGTGTGAATATTTGGGTGCTTGTCAATGAACGAGAACAAGAATGATTGTAGAGGACTAATTCAACAAAATCATGGACTAAATGGGGATTTTAATTCTGAATTTGGCAATAGTTTTTGTCAACATTTTGATCTCAGAGAGTCACTTGCCATGGCTGGAGGAGGAGGAGGAGGAGAAGCAGAACAGTTACCAAACATAGGCACTGTAAAATCATCTAGCACCATTATGAGCCGTTTTGAGTCACCAGCTTCTGCTTTCTATGCAGCAGAACATTGCATGGGCTTCGCAGAATATGATAGCCAAGTTGGTAATCAATCTTTAAGCTCTCAATTCTATAAGGTTAATGATGTGGAATTCCCATTGTATCAATCTTCCAGGGAAAAACTTATCTTGGACTCAGCAAACCAACCTGATTCCAACTTTGAATTGTCAAACACTTTGCAAGCCATGGTGAAGTCTCAATTGAATAGTAATCAATGCCGTGGATCCCCTGAAAAATCCAATAAAATTTCTTGTGGGAATTTTCCTGGTACCAAGTTCCTTCCAATTGAACAACAGAAGTTGTTCATTGATGGAGTTGCTTCATTTAGCAGGAGCTCATTATTTCCTAACAAAGGAAATCAGGACCATACAGTAAGTATTTTTGCAAACCCCATATATAGATTTTGTCTTGTGTTCATTCTTTGAAGACTCAATTGGCTTATATCATTGCATCTATCTTCAGGTTGTTCGTGGCTCTTATAACTTCCCAGTTGCACAGTTGAGCTTCTCATCTCAGCAAGAGAAGTTGCCTCCAACATTTTCAGCAGGAAGTGTGTCAAATACTCTTGGAAACTTTTCTCCTAATGGGACAGTAGTCTCAAGTAAAACACGTATAAGATGGACAAATTATCTTCATGAGAAGTTTGTTGAGTGTGTGAATCGCCTTGGGGGTGCTGAGAGTAAGTAACTCCCTAAATTATCAATTGGAAGAACATCTATTTAACATCTGAAAGTCCTCTATTGGCTTCTTGACTGTAGAGGCAACACCAAAAGCTATATTAAAGATGATGGACTCAGATGGTTTGACCATCTTCCATATCAAAAGTCATTTGCAGAAATATAGAATTGCAAAATTCATGCCAGAGTCAACTCAAGGTAATTTCCTTTTTTTTTTTCTTTGCATAATTGCATTGCAGTGCAGTTTTTTTTCATGTCAAGTATATTTCTGTGCTTGAACTTACTAGCATTCATGTCATAAATGATGAACAGATGTTTTTGTTGTAGTGTTTGTCAATGCATAAGATATAAGCTTCTCTTTTTTCCCTTGGTTTTAATTGATTAATTATTTTTAAGACTTGAATAAATTGATGCAAATTGTTTACAGTAATTATCGTTTTTGTAGTTAAATAGGCTTCAAGAGTGGGAATTTGCAATATAGAATAAATGCATTTATATCCATTAATATGGTAGAAAGTTAGAGCTAAACCAATGCTTGTTACAGTGAAATTATCTCTTTAGGATAGGACTGATTGTTCTCCGCTGATTTATTCTTCTCCCAGTTATTCATAATCTGCAATGCCCTCATTGTTCTTACTTTCCTTCAAATTATTAGGTTCACTCTCCATACTGAACCTAAAAAAGTGTCCTGTTTCAGGGAAATCTGACAAAAGAATCCATACAGAGGATGTGCATCATCTTGATGTCAAAACGTAATGCTACTTCTTTTGCCTAAACCGCTGTTATATTCCTATAGTTCTAGTACTCAAGTTGTTTGGTTCATTTTCATATTGACCTCAGATGCTGTTACTCTATAAATCTACTAAATTTTCAATACTCTCTTGATTTGCAGTGGCTTGCAAATTAGAGAGGCACTTCAGCTGCAATTAGATGCTCAAAGGCATCTTCATGAACAGCTTGAGGTATACCCTTGCTATTGTCTTCTCTTATAACTTAATTTCCATGTTTGCCATACCTTTCAGGTTCTTACTTGGTACATCATTTTTGTGACCCCTCCCCCCAACAAAAAGGTTCAGTATTGGCCATACCAACTGAAAGATTCTTGAGCATTGAATTTCACTTTTTTAGCTTCAGAAAAATGACAGCCACCAACTTAGCATGGAATAAATGATGCATAGATTTTCATCACTGAAGAGCAACACAAATGCTTAAACTCTTAACCACAACTTTTAGAACAATGTATCCCTTTTACAAGCAAAACATGATATAGTTAAAAGCTCTTATGACATCTCTGCCTATTTGCTGTTTGGGATTCTTGCAATATATTGTGCTAAAGCATGGATATGAGTTAGGAATTAGGGTAGTTATTGGTTAAAAAAATGTTGAGAAAATTGGATACTGAAACTGACTGGTTTGGATAGTTGGATTCTTATTTCCTAACTTCAGATTTTCATTTAACTTACTTTCTTGGTCCAGATTCAGAGAAAATTACAGTTGCGAATTGAAGAACAAGGTAGGCAGCTGCAAAAATTGTTTGATCAACAACAGAAGACAAGTAATAACCTCTTGAATACTCAGAATACAACCAACGATGATACATCAATAAGTCATAAAGATGTTGAGGTTTCTATTTCTGAAGGTGCAAGAAATTCCTTCTTCCCTTCCAAGGCCTCTCCAAGCCCATAATTTGATAGTTATGTATAAAATTAGAGTTTTCCAAAATCTCACTCCTTGTAAGAAACAGATAAACCGATTATGTTATGGGAAGAAAAGCACTTTGTTGATCCTACTAGTGTAAACTCACTGAATTAGTACATAATCTAATGTTCTTACAAGGTGCTATTATTTTGCTCGTTCTGCATTTCTTTCATCTTCAGTTCATACAGGATTCTCTAGTCCTTTGTGTATAAGATGAAAACAAATATCAGCTTGGTTATTTCAAATGTCAAACTAGTTTAATTACTTAACCATGTACGATTAATTACAAACTAATTTAATCACTTATAAAAAATGATACAATTAATTAAAGAAAAAATATTTTCTCGTGTCGTATAAAAGTTATTTTCTTCTATTAGTGACCCTTTAATTTTTGTGCAGTATTTTATTTTATTTTTTTATTTTTGAATAGATATGAACTCCACGTAAAATATGTCCACAGAAAATCAAAACCTTTAATTAAACCACGTATCTAATAGTTTAACCACTTTATCATGTCACATCACTAGGGTAAGGATTCTCTGAAGTTAGGTTAACATCTGCAGTTATCTTATGCCATGTAAGTGGAGAAAAAGATGCGTACCTCAATTTAAAGTTGTCCTTCTCTCTTGTAGGGAACAAGGCACTGAATTATGAATTTAAACTTAGTTGATATTAAGACACAGTATGATTATACTAAATATAATTATTTGTTGGGAAATAATACTCTCATGCCACATGAGATACTCTCATTTTCCTACACAAATTCGTTTTCCGTGCCAAATAATTCTTTTTTTCTTTTTTAATATAAAATATGGGACCCACATTTAACTTCTCTCTACTTTTTTTCTCTCCTACAATCCTACAACATAAGAAAAGTTAAACCCTTATTTGTTAATATTTTATTATAATAAAAATGGATTTATAGTTTCTCATTCAACTTGAGATAATATTATTTTTCAGCAACACAAAATTATATTATTTTGGAAATTTTGGAAATTGAGAAATTAATGAATGATACTTAGATAAAATTTATATAACAATAAATAAATAATTTTTAAAATACACTTTCTTAATTGTCCCACTCCCAAAATAACGTAATTTTGGAATTGCAAAAAATAATAATTTTATCATGGAGAAACCATAAATCCAATAAAAATTTGGGTTTAATTTTTTGCAGCAGCATTAGAGAAGGTATATCTATAACTGAGACATTCTTTTTAAAAAAATGGAACCCATTAATTAAAAAAATAAATAAATCATGTGGTAATATAGAAAAGTAGTCATGTGGTTATGTTATTTGATCATAATCACTCATTGATGATGAAATAAAAGAGACAAAAGTGTATGACTTTTACATAAATAATTATAATCAAATAACATGATTACTTTTCTACATGAAAGATCCAAATCCCTTTCACCGAGACATTCTTTTTAAAAAAATAGAACCCACTAATTAAAAAAAAAATCAGCACATAATGTATTTCCGAATAAAACTATTTCTGGAGAAATAGTTTTCTGTAAAAATTTATACCTTAATGATAATTAAATCCTTTAAATACATCCTCCCATCATTTTACCAAGACGACTTCTACGAAGGGACCTATTTTTGATTCTTTGTGCCTTGTTTTTATCCAAACGTGGCATGAAGCCCGTCTTTCCTTGCATTTTGTTTTTGGAGCTGCGTACGAGAACATGTATTAGGGATCAATATAACTTGAGATCTTTTTATAAATTTTTATAAATTATATTATGAATTCTTGAAAGTATATTTTATAAGCTAATGTTCTTTCAAAAATATATAGTATAGTTTATAAATAAAAAATTTATAAATATAACTCTTTCATAGAATTATGATAACCATTTTCAAGCAGAAGCAAAAAAATAAATAGCCACCGATAAAATGAAATTCTATTGTTTGAGCTGAATGTTGAGAGTTTTTTTCTGGTATTATTTTAGTACCAACATATTTCTAAAAAAGATAAAGTATTTGGATTTGAAGGAAAATATAAAAACAAAAATGGATTCAAATTAAATTAAATTTTTTCAATTTGGTAAATGGCTTGATACTACCCCTGTATATAAAAAAAAGGGCACTATTAATTTCCTGTCCCTGAAGGGAAGTTATCTAACTGACATATGCTTTTCAGTATACAGTTTTGTATTCTGAAAAGTATGTCAATGTTACAGATCACTTCTCTTTCTTGTCGCTAAAGAGACATATATCCTATAAAAAAATTCCTGAATGTGACTTGATTTTTTTTCACACCCTTTTTCGGGTATATATGCTTTTAAGTAGATTGTTCTTAGAAAAATAAAATATAAAATTATTGAAAGTCCTCCACTTTTAAGTTTGAGGTTATGGTTGTTAGGTGAGATAGTTGTTTATTATGATATTAGAGAGTTCGATACTCATTATCTCCTAATTTTTAGTGAAATTAAATTAGCATAAGATAGAATCAAAAAAATTAGTCTGTACAATATCCATACGCCAAACACGAAGAACTTTTATATGAAAGAATAAAGAATGTGTTAGAAAAATAAAATATAAAATTATTGGATACTATATACTTCTCAGCTCATGTATTTTGGTTGAAATGGTTCTTCGGTCGAATAGACTAAACATATTCGTGCTTAAATTATCTTATTGAAAACAGAGACCGAATCTCAAATGATTGGAAGTTCGAAATGATGAAATCTGAGAACATTTGAAGATTAATTTTTGTATAATTATGATTTATTGAATTATAATAATTAATTAATTACTAATTTATAATAAATTATAACTATTAGATACATAGAGATGAACCACTTAGATGAAAAGTAAAATTTTTTATTCTTATATTAGAGTTAAAACATCTTTTATATATATATATGTGTGGGATAACTGACCAAAATGTCACTGTTCACCAACTTTTTTACTTAAATGTCATGCGAACAGTGTTATTTCCCAATCTGCCACAGGGGCAAGTTCGCTTCTGACACAGGCGAACTCGGTTTGCTGACGTGTCACATTTTTAGTGGATAACAAGTATCAAATTAAAAAAAAAAAATGAAGGTCGCCTACATGGTCGGCGAACTTAGTTTAAAACAGAGGTCGCCTGTGTCAGAAGCGAACTCTGACACCACCAGCTTCCTGACACCACCAGCTTCCTGACACATCATCATGCATAGTTCGCTACTGCTGCAAGTGACCTTGCCGGCAATTTGGAAAATTAGTTCAGGAGCGTGGCATTTAGGTAAATTTGTGTGGGAACAGTGGCACAATAGTCACTGTTCCTATATGTGTGTGTATTTTTTCAATATTTTTATATTATCTTTTTCACACATATAAAAATATGTAAAACTTATTTGATTAGAAAAAAGAAAAAGAGAAAACATGAAATTTATACACTTTTACGTTTTATCTCTTATAATATAAAAAACAGTAAACTCTTATTGTAATTTTTTTTTGTTATACTTACATAAAATGAGTATATTTTATAAAAAACATTTCTCTCTTTTCTTTGTAATAAAAGCCACTCACTTTTATACTAACGTGGTAGACACTTTTTATTTTTTTTTTACGGTTTTGGCAAGAGGAGAGAGAGTATGAAAGTAGGGATAGTAGGGGATATGGATGTTCATCAACTGATTCAAACTGCGGTGGTCGAACTGAAAAATTGATAACCGAACAAACCGAAAATCGAAAACAGAAAAAAAAACCGCGACTTTTAATTGGATTGGATCAGTTTTCGGATTGCTTAGTGAAAACGATCCAATCTAAACCGATCCAATATATTAATTTTCCTCTACTTACTTTGGTCTTTCTCCAATCATAATTCAAAAATTTCTATATCCAAGGCCTATTAACCCATCAACTAAATCCAAGAAAAAACCTAGTCACATCTTATCAACAAAATTTCATCTGGATAGAGCTTCATATCTCGTTGCCCAAAAAAAACTATATTATCGTTTAATGATGCTTTTGTATTTCAATTTTTTTTTACAAAGCCAATAAATATATATATATATATATATATATATATATATATATATATATATATATATATAATGTTATCTGCCTGAAATAAATTTTAGTATTTTTAAAAGATCGAACACAAATCAAATTCAAATCGAAAAAAATTGAATTGGATTGGATCGAATTTGAAAAAGAAAATTAAATTAAATGAATTTTATTTTCAAAATCGATCCAATCCAGAGGGATAGTAACACATCCAAAAAAAGAATTGTGGAATTTATTTACAATGAGCCAGGGCTGAAAATGGGCGTTGAAATTTCTTTGAGAAAAGCCAAGCCTGCATTCATAGCCCAAATATTATAAATTTATTACATCGGGCTCGGTGAATTGGTGAAAGGGGAAGCAAGTGTGTGTTTGTGATGTGAAAAGGAGAAATGGAGGATTTGCAGAAGAGAAAGCTAGAAGATGAAGAGGAAGACGCAGAGGCAGAGGCAGAGGCAGAGGCAGGCAACGCTGATTTTGTTTCCAAGGAAGAGACACGCTTTCTCATTGAACCTCTACCTATACCGAGGTAAACAAAGATAAGCCAACAGAGGATTGCTTTCTTTATGTTATTTTATTTTATTTTTTAAATAAATATAATTCGTTATGGATTTAAGAGGAGAATGCATTTTGAACTGGCACTTGTGGAACTGGAGTGGATACCTTGTACTAGTACCAACACATTCATGATTATATCTATGAATTAATTATCAAACACTTTGCAAGCCATGGTGAAGTCTCAATTGAATAATAATCAATGCCGTAGATCCCCTGAAAAATCCAATGAAATTTCATGTGAGGATTTTCTTGGTACCAAGTTCCTTCCAATTGAAGAACAAAAATTGTTCATTGATGGCGTTACTTCACTTAGCAGGAACTCATTAATTCCTAACAAAGGAAATCAGGAGATTCAGGACCATACAGTAAGTATTTTTGCAAATCCCATTTATAGCTTTTGTATTGTGTCCATTCTTTGAAGACTCAATTGGCTTGTATTATTGCATCTATCTTCAGGTTGCTCGTGACTCAATTGCTGAGTTGAGCTTCTCTTCTCAGCAAGAGAAGTTGTCTCCAACATTTTCAGCAGGAAGTGTGTCAAATACTCTTGGAAACTTTTCTCCTAATGGGACAATAGTCTCAAGTAAAACACGTATAAGATGGACTACCGATCTTCATGAGAAGTTTGTTGAGTGTGTGAATCGCCTTGGGGGTGCTGATAGTAAGTAACTTACCAAATTATCAATTGGAAGAACATCTATTTAATATCTGATAGTCCTCTTTTGGCTTCTTGACTGTAGAGGCAACACCAAAAGACATATTAAAGATTATGGACTCGGATGGGTTGACCATCTTCCATGTCAAAAGTCATTTGCAGAAATATAGAATTGCAAAATTCATGGCAGATTCAGCTCAAGGTAATTTCCTTTTTCTTTGCATAATTGCAGTGTAGTTTCTTTTTCATGTCAAGCATATTTCTTGGTGCTTGAACTTACTAGCATTCATGTCAGAAATTATGAGTTTATAGTGCTTGTCAATGCGTAGGATAGATAGATCGATGCAAATTATTTACAGTTACTATTTTCTTTGTAGTTAAATAGACTTCAAGTTTAGGAAGTTGCAATACAGAAAAAATGCATTTATATCCATTAATATGGTAGAAAGTTTGAGCTACCCAATGAAAAATATAGTCCTAGTCTACTATCTCTTCCAGATGGCAGCGATCTTACTCAAACTAACAACGCTTTTTAGGTGAAATTATCTCTTTAGGATATGACTGACTGTTCTCTGCTTGTTTTTCTTCTCCCAGTTATTCATAATCTCCAATGCCCTCATTGTTCTTAGTTTCCTTCAAATAATAGGTTCACTCTCCATACTGGACCTAAAAAAGTGTACTATTTCAGGGAAATCTGACAAAAGAATCCATACAGAGGATGTGCATCATCTTGATGTCAAAATGTAATGCTACTTCTTTTGCCTAAACCACTGTTATATTTCTATAATTCTAGTACTTGATTAAGTTGCTTGGTTCATTTCATATTGACCTCGGATGCTGTTACTCTATAAATCTACTAAATTTACAATACTCTTGATTTGCAGTGGCTTGCAAATTACAGAGGCACTTCAGCTGGAATTAGATGCTCAAAGTTATCTTCATGAACAGCTTGAGGTATATCCTTGCTATTGTCTTCTCTTATAACTTTTTATTTCTGCTAGTATATTTCCATGTTCGCCATACCTTTCAGGTTCTTACTTGGTATCATTTTTGTGACCCCTTCCCCCAATAAAAAGCTTCAGTATTGGCCATACCAGTTGAAAGGTTCTTGAGCATTGAATTTCACTTTTAAAGCTTCAGTAAAATGACAGCCACCAACTTAGCATGCAAGAAATGATGCAGAGATTTTCATCACAGAAGAACAACTTACATGCTCAAACTCTAACCACAACTTTTAGAACAATATATCCCTTTTACAAGCAAAACATGATATATTTAAAAGCTCTAGGACATCTCTGCCTATTTGCATTTTGGGCTTCTTGCAATATAGTGCTAAAGCATGGATGAGTTAGGGTTTAGGGCAGTTATTGTTTGAAAAAATGTTGAGGAAATTGGATACCGAAACTGATTGGTTAGGATAGTTGGATTCTAATAATATTCTTTCGTAACTTCAGATTTTCATTTAACTTGCTTTCTTGGTCCAGATTCAGAGAAAATTACAGTTGCTAATTGAAGAACAAGGTAGGCAGCTGAAAAAAATGTTTGACCAGCAGCAGAAGAAGTAATAACCTCTTGAATACTCAGAATACAACCAATGATGATACAGCAATTAGTCATAAGGATGTTGAGGTTTCTTTTTCTGGAGGTGTGGGAAATTACTTCTTCCCTTCCAAGGCCTCTTCAAGCCCATAATTTGATAGTTTTTACAGTTTTCCAAAAGCTTACTCCTTGTAAGAAACAGATAAACCGATTTTGTTATGGGAAGAAAATCATTCTTGTTGATAATACAAGTGCAAACTCAGTGAATTAGTCCATAATCTAGTGTGCTTGCAAGGTGCTATTATTTTGCTCCTTCAGCATTTCTTTCATATTCAGTTCAATGAGTTCATACAGGGTTCACTCCTCACTCCTTTGTTAGAAGGTGAAAAAAAAAACCAGCTTAGTAATTTCAAATTTCATTTACATTTCAAATGTCAGTCTAGTTTAATTACTTAACCACGATTAATTACAAACTACTATAATAAACCAATTTAATTACTCATTAAAAATGATGCAATTAAACCATTTATCTAATAGTTTAACTACTTTATCATGTCACATAGGGATACTCTGAACTTAGGTTAGCATCTGCCGTTATCTTATGCCATGAAAGTGGGGGGGGAAATTCCTTGTTGTGTACGTCAAAATTTAAAGTTCTTGATATTCTGTGTGAGGTTATAGGTTTCAACCTAGGTGTTACTATTATATATATATATAAAAAAAAAAAAATTAAAGTTTTCCTTCTTTCTTGTTAGGTAACAAGGCACTGATATTAAGACACGGTATCATTATACTAAATATAATTATTTGTTAATATTTACTTATAATAAAAAAATATATATTTTATACCATATATATATATATATATATATATATATATATATATATATATATATGTATATATATTAATGATAATTAAATCCAGTTGTTGATCGAGTGGCCGACGCTTAAAAATTGAACCTTTGTGCCTTGTTTTTATTCAAACGTGGCACGATGACCGTCTTTCTTTGGCATTTCGTTCTTGGAGCTGCGTACGTGAACATGCATTAGGGATCAATATAGACATTGGTATCCATTTACAAGGATAGCAAAAACAAGCATAAATTAAATAGCCACCAGGATAAATTGAAATTCTATTGTTTGTGCTGAATGTGACTTGATTCTCTCTATCTCCCACCCTTTTCTGGGTACAGATGCTTTTATGTAATTTGTCGAATAGACTAAACAAATTGATGCTTAAATTATGGTATTGGAAACGGAGACCGAATCACAAATGATTGGAAATTCGGAATAACGGAATCTCGTAACGTTCGGCAGAATCTAGAATGTAACGTAACTTTTATACATTAACACAGATAGCTTGTGAAATTCTATGTTTGTGATATGAGAAGGACGTGCATGTCAAAGCCATAGCCGTGACAGCTTAATTATAGTTTTAAAAAGTTAGAAAGTGACCTTATTCCTATAATTTAATTAGAGAAGAGTAATTGGAACATAGACTCAAATTCTTTATGAATGTCACATACGACAGCATATTTATTATTTAAAATATTTTAAATTATAAATATGTGTATTATGAAATTTATTATGTGTTTGGATTAGATTTCACAAATTAATTTTGCTGGAACTTGTTTTTTCTTAAAACTTAATTTTCTTAGAAAATGAGTGTATAAGTTATAATTTAATGAGTAAAGTTATACTTACAACATTTTTTTTTACAACCTCTTACAACCATATCTTAACACCGTTGATTTCTGCCAATCAACAGTTATGATTTTCGCAAATTAAACTCATTAATTAATTATTAATTCACAATAAATGATAACCGTTGATTGACGGAAATCAACGGTGTTAAGATATGGTTGTAAGAGCTTGTAAAAAAAATGTTGTAAGTATAACCTTCCTCTAATTTAATTATGTTTGAAAACTTTTATTTAGAAAAGGAGGCAGCTGCTCAAATAGTATGAAAAGTTAATAAATAAGAAAATAACAAATATTTGAGGCATAGAATTTTTAATTTGTGATATAATGTACTTATTCGATCGACATTAGATTTAATCGAATTATTTTGATATATCCAAACTAAATTCATTTCATCAAAAAACCGATTTAATCTATTTTCATTTTTTATGAAATTATATCACATTCGATAAATATAAAAGTGATATGGACTACTAACATAGGCCCAAAAATCCCACGAAGGACCCATTGCGTAATATAGCCCAAAAAAAGTTAAAGAGGTAAGTTGATAAACCATCATATTTCAGAAAGGTAAAATGTATTTACGCGAAGATCGATAGGAAAAACTGTTTTTGCGTGCGCGGCTAAAGCTTAATTAGCCTTTTAGCCACGGCAAATGCTTGACTATGATACTGGAAAGAACAAATATATTTGTTATAATGTTGCACAATGATAAAGTTTATAAAATGTTAAAATAAGTGAGAAATGATGCATAGCTATAATGATATGCACTAGGGGTGTTTATCAACCGATCGAAACCGATTCAAATCGCGGTGACCGAATCGAAAGATCGATAACCGAATAAATCGAAAATCAAAAAATCGAAAACAAAAAAAAAACCGAAAATTTTAATTGGATCGGATCGATTTTTATATGGGTTGATGAAAACCGATCCAATCCAAATCGATCCAATATATTAATTTCCTTCTACCTACTTGGGTCTTTCCCCATTAATGGCCCAAAAATTTCTAAATCCAATATCCATTAATCCATCAACTAAACCTAAGAAAAAATCTAGTCACATTTTATCACCAAAATGTTATCTTTGTAGAGCTTCCTAAGTCATTGCCCAAAAAAAAATTATATTATAGTTTACTAATGCTTTTGTATTTCAAAAAAAATAAAAATTTACAAAGTCAATATATACAAAAGATGTTATTTGCACAATAATCATTAAATAAATTTTAGGATTTTCAAAAAACCGAAAACTGATCCAATCCAAACCGAAAAAAATTGGATTGGATCGGATCGGATCGGATTTAAAAAAAAATCTAAATCGAATGGATGATTACATGATCAAATCGAAGGAATTGGATCGGATGATTTTTACTTCCAAAACCGATCTAATCCAGACCGCGAACACGCTAATACGCAGCTTGGGTGATCTTGAATATGGTGGATTCTGTTCTGGGTGGAATTTATCTCTCTGTTCCAAACTCAGCCCTTCTATTCGTTGTCCAATACTTTGATTGTTCATTCTTTGATTAATTATATATACAACCAAAGCCTAAAGCACTACTATAGATAATGAATTCAATGTGCTTATCATTTTTCATGTTAAAAAATCACTTAGCAGGTAAAAAAACTCTTTCTGCAAGACAATTAGTATGTTCTCGAACATCGATTGTGCACTGCTTCTATTTCTTCTGTACACGGAACACTGATCTGGATTACTAATTTTGACCATCCCTATTTTTAAATAATACAATTTCGCTGCAGAAATTGTGGAATCCCAATGTATTTAAATTAATCGATCTGAACAATAATCACGAGTGCTGCTGCTACTTGAGGACCGGCCAGAAGATTATTCAAGAACAATTAACAATATACATTGAAGTGAAGGAAAGGCCCACAATGAAGCCATACTTTTTTTTATATATTTCATTTGAAGAGTTAAACATTGTTAAGCAGGGAGAGCGCGAGTAAAACAAGTATTTATATAGTGTAAAATTGTATTTATAGATGTTAAAAAAATTTATGTTAATACGTAAAGTAAACCAAAAATTGAGCCTGTGTAATATTCACATTTCAAGTTTATATGACTCTTGCGTGAGGGGATGTGTTAGAGAATAATATAAACCATTGAAAAGGTATTCACCCAACAGTTTAAGTTTTTGGGTTGAATTGATTCTTTATATAGTATTAGAGCTTCGGTATCACGGGCTCTGAAGCATGAACATACAATTTTGAAGAAAAAAAATGCGTGTCGGACACCGACGACACGTTCTGATACACAATCAACATTTACCGACACGTGGTCAACGTTTTCCGACACGTTTTTTATTTTATTTTTATATCCAAATTTTATTTTATTTTATCTTTTTAACTAAACATGAAAATTTAATTTATAAATTAAATATTTTTTGTTATGAAATTTGACTTGAAAATTAACAAGGCATCCAAAATTATTTTTTCTTTATATTTATGTTATGCAATTTGAATATTTGATTGATTATATGATTTATTATGAGCAGTGGCGGAGCCAAGGAAAAAAGTCAGGTAATGCCAAAAGATCTGACCAGGTAGAATCAGGTAGTGTCAAGGTTGTATTATTTTTAAAATTCCAACTAATATCAAGGCGGTATCAAAGTTTTTAAAGAAAATCTATACCATTTTAATCTCAAGTGGCGCCACTAATTATGAGCTGCTATATGTATTAAATATAAACTATATTATATATATTAAAAATATTATTTAATATCAAAACGTGTCCTAAAGTATCGAAATCTAACATCTTTTAGAATTAATGTGCGGCGTGTCGTATCCTTTGTCTGTGTCAGTGTAATATAGGTCACAGATTTGATCTTCACCGTCCCATTTAATTAATAATTAATTAAGTATTATGAAGTTTCTTAACATAGATAAGTGTGTCTTGCATTGTCACCTTTCAAGTCTAATGGGCTCTCGTGTAAGGAGTTTGTTAGAGAAATATAAAACTATTAAGGTAATCTTATCTAACTGCTTAAGTTTTTGGATTAAAATGATTCTTTAAAAAATTTAACATAAAACGATATTCACTGAATAGATTTAGTTTTAGGTGAAATGCTTGTTTAATAAGATAAATCCTTCAAAGAGTGTATGACCAAGTAAATTATGGAACAAATTAAATAAAGTGATATCCCGTAACCATGCTCAAGAGATTTTTCAACTTTCCTTTATAAAAAATCTTAGTTCCACGTTCGCATGCCCTAGAATTTAACGAGGTCATAGGGACTGTTAGCTAATGTCAACAACTTTCAGCATAGCAACTAGATTTCAACAGATTTATACACAGATGTTTCTATTATTGCTTCATTTTTGTGATAGAGCTAGTATCATATATTATCTTGGTTATGTCCTGTTATCTTTACCCACAGTTTTTTTTTTTTTTTTTTTCAGTCTTTTCCCGTTATCCTCTGTATGCCCTCACATGTACTTCATGATGGAGACCAAGAATCGTTTTGGTGTCGACATTTTTTTTTCGCGAAAAATAAAAGAAGATCTAGTGTCGACATTTTTTTGTCATTGTCATGGTGCAATTATTTGGACATGTGATTTTGTTCACTTTTTTTTTTTTTTTGGATTTCTTAAATGGTTCATCAATGATTCAATTGATCCGGTTGGAACTGAACAAAGCCACGAAGACCACAAAATTCTTCCCATTAAGATTTAACACAAGTGGATTCAAAGATTCAAACTCGAGATAATTAATTAAGTTGAAATACTCTTTTATCAATTTTAAAATATAAGTGTATATAATAAATAAACTAAGGAATAATTTGAAATGATTAATCTAATTTTAGTGCATAATACATCAATATAAATCATGTTTAGAGATTGTGTATGTCCAAACATAAATCAAAACCTTCTTAATACCCTAAACATTCATTATTTATAATTTTGGAAATTCAATAAAATATTCTTACTTTCATCAAAAAAATATTCTTCAATGACATTTAATTTCATTTAACATTATTATGACAATATGCATAAACATCAATTTAATAAACTTATTATTATGTCTACAAAAAAAAATAAACTTATTATTATCTTTATATTAATTAAAAATAAAAATTATCTTTCGGATGAAATAAATTTTATTTTATTTTAGATATCAACGGATCTTCAAAGTCTTAATAGACCCAAATAATATAGATTTGGATTTATGCCTCTCCGCCCTCCTAAAAATTGTGGTGATCAGAATTCGAACCCACGACCTTTTTCTGTAGATCAAATCTTTGGATCTATTAATATAGATTTGGATTTATGCATCTTCACCCTCTAAAAAATTGTAGTTATCAGAATTTGAACTCACAGCTTTTTGTGTAGATCAAATCTTTGGATCTATTTAGATCGTCACTAGACGAATAACTCTTAATAATTAATTAAAGGGAAAAACATATATCCTTTTAAAGGATATAACCTTTTATCATTTTATATTCTAACCGTTGATTTCTGTCAATCAACGGTTATAATATATTGGGTCAAACTTAATGGGACAAATTTATTATTAATTAATTAATAATTTTGATCCAATATTTATAACCGTTGATGGATGGAAATCAACGATTAGGATCTAAAAAGATATAAGTTTATATCCTTTCAAATGACAAATGTTATTCCCTTAAATAAATTATTTAAGCAAAACCGATTCCATAACTTTTTCTTATACGATGGCATTGGCATGCATTCCTATAAAATAAAGAAATAATGTTTCCCTTAAAAAGATTCCTTTCCGACCATCCAACTAAACATATCAGCAACTTTTCATCACATTATTTTCTATTTAACGGAACCTAAAATAGATCTACCATATATTAAAAAAAATAAAAAAAGATCTACCATATTACTATGAGTTTAATATTTTTCATGTTGTAGAAGATAATTTTATCTCCCACATACATATAAAAATATGTAGAACCCATGTGAGGCCATATGAGAAGAAGAAGAAAAAATATGAATCTCACACACTTATATATATATATATATATGTGAGTTTAGCTGATGTAAAGTGACTGCACCAATTCTTTGGTGCAGTCATATGAAACTACGTCATTTTATAATGTGAAAGCATTAAATATGAAAAATCATAATCATACAAAGATGGAAATAAATATAATATTTTCATTTTTTACAATTAATTTTGAACGCAGACTTCCTTTATCCTAACCAAAACAACGTAATTTTTAGGTGACTGCATCAATATTTATATGCAGACTATACAGTCACGTTACAAATCATTTTGCCTATATATATATATATATATCATGTTAAATCCGTTAACTGTTTATGCTTTGCCCAAGACTAAACTATCTCTTTACTTAAATACTTTTTTGTTTTTTCCTGTTGTCTTTTCAATTGACTGCAAGATAAGGTGAGGACGTAGGAAGGGTCTGGCGCATCCAAAGTAATGTATTGCTATGCTGATTCCTTGAGTCACAATAGATTAAATAATTTATGGGTCTCTTCTACAAATTAATAGCAAGTGACTCCTCGTTTCTCTGGGAAGCTACAATACATACTATGTTTCATTGGCCAGAATGTACTTGGACAAAAATCTTATCATGATACATTGAAAATTCTCTTTGTATGAGGACACAACTATGTCTGCATACATTATTAACTTTTCCTCACTGTTCATCCCTCTCTTCTTCTTCTTTCCCCTACCCTTATACACCCTTTAATATAACAAATAATTGATGTTTTGCATAGGTACTGGCTTTTAGTGCCTTTTTTTTTTTCTCAACTCGTTTTGGCATATAAATGAAAATCACAGAAGTGAAGTAACTATATTTGCAGAAGAGCTGGAGTTTAGATTAAGAGAAGCATGTACCAGTGTGCTTCCCAGATGTATGGAACTCAATGGGAATCCCATATGGGGTTTAGCAACCTAGCCAAGGTTGTTGGATCAGAACAATCACCCTGTAACATTGTGACCACTCCTTTTCAAACAACGCAAGGTTTCTGTGCAAATGCAGCCAAAAGCCTTGTGAGCTTTCAAACTCAAGAACATGATCAGCATCAGATTGAAGTTCCTGCTTGGTGCTTTGAGTTTCCAAATACAACAGACTCCCCCATGTTGATTTGCCAAGCCTCTGGGAATAACTTCGCCAATACCACCAAACAAGATCGATTCACCTCTCAATTCACAAGCTCATTGTACTCGAATGCTGACTCTTTCTTGGCTAGCTGTGCAGATAGCCTTTCTTCTTCTGAAAAATATAGTAATTTTCAGCCTGACAATATGCCATTTTATGAAAACTTTCCACAAGAACGTGATAATGATGCTGCCACAGATGAGAGGCCCCATGAAATTTCCTTCCAGAGAAATCAGGTTCTTACTTTCTTAGTATGTGGCTTGTAGTTTCTGATTCCATTTAATTAAATTATGTGTGATATGGTATGAAGTTGTGCCTTCATTTTCTTCAACATAACAAATAGTAGATGATTTTTACTTGTTTCCTTCGCTTGGCTAAGAGGAAAATGTGATTAGTCTTCTCCTCGGGCATGATCTGTTATAGACACCCAAATTAATTGTTGATAATGATATATATAATGTGAGGGTCACACTAGAAATATAACATCTTTTTTTTTTTTAAGGTAACAAAATAAGCATATATAATGAACGCTTTTACACAAACTATTTATTTGGGCGTTTTTAGTAGATTATACGCACCTAAATTTTTTTCCATCTCATCCATTTATGGAACAGTGACCAAAGTGCCACGGTTGGCAAAAAAAATTATCAAACTGTCACGCCAACAGTAAATTTTGTCAAAATGCCACGTGGCATATTTTGCTACACTGTGTAGCGAAATATATATGCAAATAATTCGCTACACAGTATAGCGAAATTCTCCCTGTTTGACACGTGGCATTTTTTATTCTGACGTGGCATATTTCGCTACACTGTGTAGTGAATTATTTGCACACATATTTCGCTACACAGTGTAGCGAAATATGCCACGTGGCATTTTGGCAAAATTTACTTGTTGGCATGGCAGTCCGGCAATTTTTTTTGCCAACGGTGACAAAATGGTCACTGTTCCTCCATTTATCTTATTGTTTGTAATATACATTTTATTTATTATTTTCTTTGCTGATGAACTGTAATATATGTCTTACTAGTTGGCCTCATGTGCAAAGCCAGAAAAAGATACTCCTCGAATTTGTGGGGTTGCCGGTGCCAATTCTAGCAACTCTGCTTCTAAGAGAGCTCTAACACGTAAAAGAAGAATAAGATGGACCAAAGATTTGCATGAGCCATTTATGATGATTGTTAATAGCCTTGGAGGTCCAGAAAGTAGGTTAATTAGATAATAGTATTAGTTATATATAACAACAAAGAAACTCCTACTTACCCAATACTTGATTTATTCTTTGGTTAATCGCAGAGGCAAAGCCTAAGGCTATACTAGATATGATGAAATCGGATTTACTGTCCATTTCTCACGTTAAAAGTCATTTGCAGGTAAAACTATTTCCAGTGAACAAGTGCTATGTCGTTCTTAAACTTTGTTGTGTCATAGCCTCTTTAGCTATTAATTGGCTCTCTAATATTTCTAATATATTTGCATTGCAGAAATGTAGGTCTACAAATACAATACAGATGCACAAAGCTTTGCAGGGTAAACTACTTCTGTCATGAAACTCCATAAAACATACCTCTTTTGAACTGCTTTATTAATGGTATGCTCAATAGAGTAAAATGAAGAAGGTGGAAATCATTCAGAGAAGTTAAAACTTTTCACCTTCTGATTTTTAAATTTTTAAATCATGGTTAATAATGTACACTTAAATGTGTTGAGTGTTGAACTATCATTTAATTCTCCAGTATTAGGGGTATATTGTGACACAGTTACCACTTTGTGTTTCAGAAGGACCCGAGGAAGGACATAGAACAGATGGGGTCACTGAACTTCAAGTAAAAATGTAACATCAATTGAGCTATGGCAATCTACACTTGTTATGATACTTCTTTCATATGTAATTACAAGTGTTTTGTTCTCACTAAAATGTCAATGCAGTTAAGTGTATTCATATTTGATTTTTTTTAAATGTATGCTTACTGATTTCCTACTTCTTAGCAGCCATATGCAAATTGAGGAATCACAGAAACTGCAACTAGAGGTCCAGAGGAGCATTGACCAACAATTAGAGGTAATTAATTCGGTTTTGCTTTGATCGAAATATCAATTGGACATCAATTAAAACTTATGCTATTGGACAGACTTATACTTACCCTTTACTATGTTGTGCTTATTTTGTCTTTGGGGTTAGATGCAACGAGATTTGCAAATGCTAATTGAACAGCAGAACAAGCTGCTCAAAAGTAATCTAAGATCACCAAAAAATGAAAGAACCAAAAGGTAGAAAATCCTTGGCACAGATATGGAAGTGACTGTCCCAGAATGATGTGTCATTTGTTTTGATAAGTTACTCTACTTTATCTTTCAATAAGCAATCAAACATGCAAATGTAAGAAACGATTCTTTGGCAGCTAATTCAAAATGTAAGCATGCCTAGTGTGTTAGATATTTACAAATATAGGGTTGGAAGGGTCTATGTCAGATCCAATGGGAAAGTATCATAGATATATTCATTTTATTAAAGTATATCACCCGCACTCCCACCCACCAAAAAAAAAAAAAATATGCCTAAGATGAATGTCTGATTCTAATCCTTAAAGCCCTGTTTCTTACGTTTGTATTATTGAAATTCAATTTTGATGCCCAAGTCTTTCGGCAAGGTGTTTTGCAAGTTTATATATTGAACGAAAAAGACAATTTAACGTTCGCAATGGAGTATGGACCTGCTTTAATTTAATACGTTATAATCAATACGCTAAATGGATTATAAATTGAGGACTTGTTGGAAGCTTATTGGAACTTGCCAGAAAAGGAAAATAATAATAGTATTACATTAAATTTGCAAATTAAGATAATTTTACCCTTTTCTGACAATTTCTTGCAAGCTTCCAATATGCAAATTGAGATTATTTTATCCTGTTACTTTTCAAGCAGTTGTTATGACGTAATCAATGGTTTTTTTGCCTTTTTTACTCTCTATCAATTAAAAAAAAATTATTTTATCCCTTATCCAAAATATTCCACTAATCTGTTCATGTTTAATTAATTAAACCATGAGCTTAATCTATTAAATTGCGGGTTTAGTATTTTCTGCATTTTTTAATGTTTAATCAATTAACACCGTGGTTTAATCAATTAAATAGGGGCAGATAAGTGAAATATTTTGAGTAAGGGATAAAATAATTTTTTTTTTTTAATTGATGGAGAGTAAAAAGGTCAAAAAAAAAATCTGTAATCAAAATGAACTGGAATATAGTGGTACGATTCTATTCGTTAAAATGCATGGCAGATCAATGTAGTGCTTATTAGAATAAAAGCTATGAAAAATAATTAGTGTACAACTTTATCTGAAAAAAAAAATGTAGACAAAAAAAAATTGATGTTGATTGCTGACCACTTAGATCAATTTTGTTTCAGCACATGCCTTTACTATATTTTTTATAAATATAATCGAGTTGAATTCAACCTGTGACTTTAATGTTAGTTCTTATTGGATCTTAACATAAGCAAATAATTGAATTGAATTGAACCAAATTGAATTATATTTTCTTAAATTAATTTTGAAAATCTAACTGGTTTTTGTAAACCAGTTTAAAAATTGAACCAAAACGAAGGAATTGGTTCGAAAAATCAGTTACTGATTTAAACAGATTTCGAACCAATTCAAAAAAAAAAAAATCGATTTGAATTAAATGAAACAGTTCAATTTTTTAAACCGGATTAATTTAAACTAGTTCAGGTTCAGGGGGGGAAAAAAACGAGAGTCGAACCATCCCCACCAATATTTATGGCACTCTTGCATTGTTTTTGCACTTGATCAAGTATCAATTCAAGGTCTCAAAACCAGTCAATTTTATTCAATGTTAGACGGGCTTACTTTAGTAATGGGCCAAAAAATAGCTAACTTGTTTAAACCCCATCCGGATTGGTGGATTAAACGGATTAATCCTCTTAAATATAAAAAAATAGAAAAACCGAACAAAAAAGAATTTCTTATTCGCGCAGCCATAGGGCTCATATCTGGTTGGGTTCTTAAAAGTTTTTTTTTTTTTTTTTATAATATTAAGGGGCGAAGCCCCAAACAAAAACAAACAAACAACCAGAAACAAAAAACAACTATCCAGGGTCTATATCCCTACAAGAGGAAATTCCCTGAAGATCGTAATCAAATAACTGAGCAAGGTGAAACGGCATAACTTTATGACTCTAGAATCCAGTATCTTTGTGAAGAGCAGACTTGGCTAACCAATCTGCACAGAAATTAGCTTCTCTTGGAATATGAGAAAGCGTTACCTCCCAATACTGACCGATGAGTGCTTGTATCTTAGCCACTATACGAGTCTGACAAGCTGCATGTAACAAGAAACAGAGATCAGAAAGATAAGAATTAGGGTAAGAGAAGAGACGAAGGAAGAGAGAAAAGAATTATCTGAATATTGCTACCCTTTTACTAAGCCCCAGTAGGCTATATATACGCAAGTCTGTTACATGTATTGTAATTTGAAATGATGCATAATAAAAGAAGACATTATAACTATTGATTTAAGATCCAATACTTATTCAGCCCAATATGAAATCATTGTAATGGGCTGGCTTCTTTATGATCCTTTTAGTAGCCCTTTTAGTAGATGAGCCCGTAACATTATTCTCCGCTTCAAGAGTCGACTTGTCCTCAAGTCGTTTGAAATCCGTAGAGATATTGCGTGCTCCCAAAGCTTCAGTTGTGTCAGTGGCATTTATTAAAGCCACGCGATTGGCAGTTGGAGTGGATGGTTGCTTCAGGGAATCCGACGGTAGATGGATAGTTGGCAGGGGAGTAGTTGAGGACAGCTGTGTCTCACTTGCCGAATCGTGTGGTCCAGAAGCTGCCGACATGGGAAGTTGATTGGCAACCGTTGATGTGGGAAGTGGAAAAGGCTTCATAGGGTATGTCTGAAGCCTTGGTCTTTCAGAAAATTGATGAGCCTTTTTCCTTGTTAAGTCCTTGAGTTCCTCTCTGTGCTGCGGTATGAGCTGCTCGTCTGTTCCCGTTACGATCTTAGGCCTACCTTGATCAGTCTCTTTTATCACTGAGTCTGAGAGTGTCAAAGAGTCTCGTGTTATGAACTCCTTCCCTGTGATGTTGTCATTCCCAGATGTCAGAATCACAGCTTGATCTTCCCAAGTCGAATCTTCTGGTGGAAGACCCGTCCATTGCACCAAAACCTGAGGGATCAGCGCTCCCCTCCTCCATATTTGTCTAACCCCGACTATTGCACAAGGTATGTGTATCAGAGGGCTTTCCAATTCCGAAGAAGGAAAAGGGTGTACCTTGAAGGTTTGCCCTGAACGAAAAGGTCGCAGTAAGGACACGTGAAAGACCGGATGAATACGTGCTGGTGCGGGCAGTTTCAAACGGTAGGCGACCGGACCAATTTTTTCTACAACTTCGAAAGGTCCATAGAAGCGCAAGGCCAGTTTGTGTGAGGACCTACGAGCGACATAGATTTGTCTGTAAGGTTGCAGACGAACTAGAACCATGTCACCCAAGGTAAATGTCCAATCTTTACGCCTTTTATCTGCCTGTGCTTTTATAATCTGTTGAGCCCTGAATAATTTTTCTCGTAATGTTCCTACGAGGTCGCTCCTTTCTGAAAACGTGGACTTCACTGCCTCGTTGGTAGAAGACCCCAAGCAATAGGCCACCATGTTGGGTGGTTTGCGGCCGAACATAGCTTGGTAGGGTGTAACCTCTGTTGCCGTATGGAAAGAGGTGTTGTAATGGTATTCTGCCAAGCTCAAGAATTTTGACCAAGTGGATGGGTGTGCAAGCGAGAAAGCTCTCAGGTAATTTTCCAGGCATCTGTTTACTCTCTCTGTTTGGCCATCTGATTGTGGATGATAGATTGAACTGAAATTTAGTTTTGTGCCTTGCAGTTTAAACAAAGAGCGCCATAAATCGCTTAAGAAAATGGGGTCGCGATCCGAAACAATCGATTCAGGTATACCGTGGAGCTTGCCTACAAAATCCCAGAAAAATTGAGCCACCTTTGTTGCCGAGTAGTGCGCTGGAAGTGGAATAAAATGGGCACCCTTAGAGAAACGGTCAACCACGACCAATACAGCATTATGGCCTGCTGATGTAGGTAAGTGTGTGATGAAATCCATACTTAAGTGAGCCCATATCTTGTCTGGGATTTGAAGGGGTTGCAAAAGCCCGAGAGGGGAATGGTTAGGGGGTTTTAATTTCTGACATAACTCACAACTTTGGATGTAGGTTTTAACATCTTTGCGCAATCCCTTCCAAGTGAAGTGGCTGTTGATGCGGTGAAAGGTAGCTTGAATTCCTGAGTGACCCCCTTGGACTGAAGTGTGAAAGTCATGAAGAATGTGTGTGATCAAGGAAGAACCTGCTGGTAGAAAGATCCGAGAACGATTCAAGAGCAATCCATTGCGAAACTGCCATTCCGGCAAGGAATTGGGATTTTGTTGTAATTGTTGTATAAGCATGGTAGCATAGGGATTAGACTTGTAATCAGATTGTAATACCTGAGTGTAGTTAAGTGTTGGGCCAGAAATGGCCCAGTAATGGACTGGCTGGGCTGCCACGTCCCCTTCAGGCAATCTGGACAAACTGTCGGCCACAATGTTGGCTTTGCCTGTTTTATATGTTATCGTATAATGGAACCCCAGTAGCTTAGACAAAAACTGCTGCTGTTCAGGGGTTTGAATCACCTGATTCATCAGGTTATGAAGGCTCTTATGATCCGTTCTGATAATGAAATGAGATCCTAGGAGGTATTGTCGCCATTTACTAATGGCGGAGGTTATGGCGAACATCTCGCGCACATAAACTGACTGATTTTGCATGGCTGGAGATAATTTTCGGCTATAAAATGCAAGTGGCCTTTCTTTTTGTAGCAGAACTGCTCCAATGCCAACCCCTGAGGCATCTGTTTCCACCACGAAGGTATCCGAAAAATTCGGTAAACCCAAGATTGGAGCAATTACAAGCAGCTGTTTAAGTGCATCAAATGCCTCAGTAGCCGCATGTGTCCAATGAAAGCCACGTTTGGATAGTAGATCCGTCATAGGGGCGGCAATGGATGCGTACTTCCTTATGAATTTTCTATAATAACCAGATAACCCCAAAAAAGCCCGTACCTGAGTAACATTTTTCGGAATGGGCCATTCCAGAATGGCTCTTAGTTTGTCTGGATCAGGTGAGACTCCCTTGCCAGTAATTATGTGTCCTAAATAAGGGATTTCAGTTTGGCAAAATGTGCACTTCTCCCTTTTTGCAAACAAGGAATGGGCACGAAGCTGACTTAGGACAGCGTGCAAGTGAGCCAAATGTTGCTCTGCAGAGGGACTGTACACCAGTATATCATCAAAAAAAATGACCACAAATCAGCGCAGAAAAGCTGAGAAAATGGCATTCATGGTGGATTGGAAGGTAGAAGGGGCATTGGATAACCCAAAGGGCATAACTAAAAATTCAAAATGTCCATGATGAGTACGAAAAGCTGTTTTAGGAATATCAGCTTGATGCATCTTGATTTGGTGGTACCCGGAGCGTAAATCCAGCTTTGAAAAGATAGTAGCACCGTGGAGCTCATCTAGTAGCTCATCGATAGTAGGAATGGGAAACTTGTCTTGCACAGTGATAGCATTTAGGGCTCTATAGTCAACACAAAACCGCCATGTACCATCCTTTTTCTTCACTAATAAAACTGGGGAACTAAAACACGAATGGCTAGGCTTAATAATGCCTTTAAGTAACATATCAGATACCATCCTCTCAATCTCTGTTTTTTGGTAGTGAGGATAACGGTAGGGTCGGACTTGCACTGGGTCAGCATTAGGAATGAGATGGATGTGGTGATTGTAGTCTCTATCTGGGGGCAGGGAGGAAGGTTCCACAAACACATCGTGGAATTCATGCAATAATGGGTTTAATCCTGGCACCAAAGATGAGTTGCTCTGTGTGGTTGGGTCTGAATGAGAGGGAGCATTGAAGCACATGAGACATGAAGAAATAGAGTCCTGCAACATCAATTTGTGTAATTGTGAGGACGTGATGTGACCGGGCAGCATGGGTCGCTCTCCTTGTAATAAAACCTGAGAAGAATTGTGAACAAAAGACATTGTTAAGGCAGAATAATCAGTAATAACAGGCCCCAAGGTTGAAAGCCATCGCACTCCTAGAACCATGTCAGCCCCCTTTAATTCGATGACATATAAATCAAGGGCGAATAGATGGGATTGCAAGTCTACTGTGATGGCTTTACAAGCTGCTGAACAAGTGAGTGCATCCCCATTGCCAACTTGAACATTGAATGGTTTGATGACATGCAAAGTGAGTCGAAGGTGAGTAGCCATACGTAGGGTGATAAAATTATGGGTACTACCCCCATCCACCAAAATTTGCACTTGTTGTCCCCCTATTTTTCCCTGTAAACGAAATGCATTAGCAGAATGGTGTCCAAACAAGGCATTAAAACTAATTTCGTGAGGAGTGTCCAGATGGGGAGGATCAGGTATATCCTCCATTGGTTCCAACTGCGGTTCTGTAGTACTGTCAGGTGGATCATCATCTGTTCCTTCCAAGTATAAAAGGGTTGCACGACCCTTACATCGGTGACTCGCGACAAAACGCTCGTCACAATTATAGCACAGATTCTTCTCCCTGCGTGCTGCCATTTCAGCAGGGGAAAGTCTTTTGATAGGGATAGATGGTAGGCTTAATGGTGGTTTAGGGTTACTAGGTGGAAATATTGTGGTGAGAGGCTGGGCTGGAATGGGCTGAGTGGAGTTGGATGTACGTGGAATCCAGGGTTTGGAGGGTCGTGTTTCAGCAAACTGTTCCTCATAGATTTTAGCAAAAGCAAAGGCAGTAGTGATATCAGTTGGTCGGTGAACTAGGACAGCTCTCCTAATGTGTGGTTTCAATCCGGAGATGAAAAGGCTTTTGCGAGTTAATGGTGTTAATTCGGGAATTCTGCGTGCAAGGAGTTCAAAAGCTGATTGAAAATCAACCACTGATCCCGATTGCTGCAATTTGGCTAAGGAGCCCAATGGGTCTTCAAATTCTGATGGTCCAAAACGCTGATGCAACGCATTGACAAAAGAGTTCCAATCGGGAAAATGGCCATGACCGAAGCAAGCTTCGAACCAGCAGGATGCAGGTAAGTCCAAATTAAAAGAAACTAAATCAAGTCTATCCATATCAAGTACCTGATGATAACGAAAATACCTCTCTACAGCAAATAACCAAGGGCCCGGATCTCCAGAACTGAATCTTGGAAAATCAATTTTCATGGAACGTAAGTGTGAAGTTTGACGCGTGGGGCCAGCGCCTAACACTCCCTGCTGAGGAATGGAACCCATATTGGTGAGTTGAACTTGCATTGTTTGTAAGAGGGCAAACATATCCTGGATCTGATGGTTAATACCATCCATTCGTTGAGTCTGTTCGTTAATTCTGTGAGTCTGTTCGGTGAACTGTTGGTTGTGGGTTAGCTCAAACGTTTCTAGTCGATGGTCTAAGGTCCGTTCCAAGGTGAGGAACTGTTGATCATGAGATTGAACCTGGTGAGTAAGGTCCCTTAATCTAGTATTTTCAGCCATAGCTCTCAATGGAGGCACCAATGTAACAAGAAACAGAGATCAGAAAGATAAGAATTAGGGTAAGAGAAGAGACGAAGGAAGAGAGAAGAGAATTATCTGAATATTGCTACCCTTTTACTAAGCCCCAGTAGGCTATATATACGCAAGTCTGTTACATGTATTGTAATTTGAAATGATGCATAATAAAAGAAGACATTATAACTATTGATTTAAGATCCAATACTTATTCAGCCCAATATGAAATCATTGTAATGGGCTGGCTTCTTTATGATCCTTTTAGTAGCCCTTTTAGTAGATGAGCCTGTAACACTGCATTGCAATCAGCAAGCAAAGAGAATACTTCAGAAGCATCTCCTTCTAGTTCCACCTTCTTAAATCCCAGTTGCCAAACCAATTCCAGACCTTTTAGAGTTCCCCAAAGCTCCGCCATTAAAGGAGTGCAAGCACCAATATGATACTCAAAGCCTCCCAACCAAGAGCCTGATAATCCCACCACAAGCAGCCACCTCAGTATTCCTTTCAACTGCCCCATCAATATTAATCTTCACCCAATTTAGCCTCGGAGGTTTCCATAAACTCATACGAATTGGATGAATGCTAGTAGTAGCCATAGCCTTCCTACCCATGCAGTTACGCACCTCCTCTATATACATAGCAACTATGTGTGTTCCATGGGTTGGATGCTTGAAGTTAGTATCATGGACACTTTTGTTCCTCCATCCCCAAATGAACCAGCAAGAGATAAAAAAGACGTCACGCCAATCATCTGAATTACTTTGATTCCAAGCTTTTGAGATATTATTTTCAACCCAATCTCTAAGACCCAAGTTGTAGAATAAGCTTTGCCGATTAGCTGAAACGAGAGAATTCTAAACACTTCTAGCATGCTTACAATCTCTTAGAACATGGAGATTTGAATCCAACTCACCAGGACACAATTTACAATGATCAGATTCCCCACTCCATCTAGATGTGCGGTCTTTAGTAAGAAGGCGGCTATGCATTATGATCCACATACAAGATTTAACACGCTGAGGCCCATGCCATTTCCATATGGTAGTCCAAGAATTTTTCAACGGCATGAGAGGGAAACCAAGCATGTTATAATACGCGGTTTTAACTAAAGAGCAGCCAACCTTTTGATTTCTCCAAATAATGCGATCATTTCCATCCGATGCGCTAGGAATAAGAGCAACTTGGATCCTTGCAACAGCTTGATCATTGAGATATTGACGAATATAGGGAAAGTTCCATTGACCAGTATTGCTGTTCACGAAGGCACTAACAGGGAGATTCAACTCCAAACCTGTTGGAGTATGAGTAGCCAGAGAGGCAAGACACTCAGTTAAACCCAACCAATTGTCTGTCCAAAATAATGCATCATTACCGTCTCCAATATCCCATTGCGTTGCTTGAAGAAAAGATGGCCAAACACTATATAGATTTTTCTAGAAGTATGAGTCATATGCTTTATGATTTACTTCCCTCCGAAGATCCAAACCTCACTTAAAAGATTTTTGAAATATTAATTCGGATTTTTTAAAATATTAATGACATTATATTAAACTTTAATTTTTAATTTTTAATTCATTAATCTAATCAATAACTTTTAAATTATTTTGGTGTCATAAAAGTATCATATAACTGTAACTTGACGCTGAGTTAGTGGGGTTGGATATGTGTTCGATTCCCGCTGAATGCATTCTTGGAGAGGGGGCTGAACCTTTAGCCATCACTGTTCCCCCGCACTCCGGATTAGTCCCATAGCCAGCTCAAAGAGTCGAAGCTCGTGGGATACCGGAGGGAGCCAACTCGTCTCAAAGAGATAATTAGGGTTGGGTAACTCCAAAAAGTATCATATAACTAAGGGTTTGATGTTTATAATTTTAAATGACATAAGTTATGCCATTTTAAGAGAGAGATAGACATAAAGAATGGAAATCATGGGAGAGAAAATATGTGATTTTTTTAATTTAAATTTTAAATAAAAAATATTTTCTTGTATCCATCTCTCTTTTAAAATGACATAACTTTATGTCATTTAAAATGAAAAATATTTTCTCAATAACTAATGGGCCACGATAACAGTAAAAAAAGAATTTAGGAATATATTTACGATGAGCCAGGGCATAAAATGGGCCTTGAAATTTCTTTTGAGAAAAGCGCAGCCTGCATCCATAGCCCAATAATTATAAACCTAATACATCGCGTTCGGTGAAAGAGGAGGCAAGCGTGTGTTTGTGAAGTGAGAAGAAGAAATGGAGGATTTGAAAAAGAGGAAGCTAGAAGACGCAGAGGCAGTGGCAGAGGCAGAGGCAGACAACGCTGATTTTGTTTCCAAGGAAGAGATGCGCTTTCTCATTGAACCTCTTGCTAAACCCCAGCTCGTCGATCTTCTCGCGAAACTGTGCGTTTCAATTTCAAAATTCTCTATTTCACTTCCTTCTTCTTTTTTATCATTCTTTCTTTGCAATTTATGCATGCTTTTGCTATCTCGGTTTCAGTTTCAGTTATTAGTGTTCCAATTATTTTTCATCCTTTTCTTTTGAAGGGTAAAAACAAAGATAAGGAAACCGAGGAGAGAGAAAGCAATATGATGCTTTATTTATTTAATTTAATTTTTAAATATAATTCGTTATGGATTTAAGTGGAGAATGCATTTTGAACTGGCACTTGTGGAACTGGATACCTTGTACTAGTGCTCATTCGGAGTTCCAATATCTTAATTTTTAAGATATGTCTAGTACACACGCACAGACCCATATATATATATATATATATATATATATATATATATATATATGTGTGTGTGTTTATCGTTTCTCAAGCAGTTTGAGATAACTTTGTATCCGGCTACTAAATCATTAAATCATAACCGTAAAAAGATGAATTAACGATAATAAAGGAAGAGAGAGAAAAAGGGAATCATAACCGTAAAAAGATGGATTAACGATAATAAAGGATGAGAGAGAAAAAAGGAATCATAACTATTCAAAAGTGAAGCAATTAATATAAGGAAATAAATAAACAAAACGACGTAGTTTTGTGGTAGTCGGCGATAAACTTATCTCTTGAGAAATGTTTTTCCCTATATATATATATGAGATAGGATATTCTGACACCCAAGTTATGTTACACCCATGTGACACCCAGTCAATCTCACCGTTAGATCGCTTATGTTGATCCAACGGTTATATTTATTTTCATCTTTGTATGGTCATGATTTCCCAAATTTAAAGTGAAAGCATTAGATATGGGAAATCATAACCATACAAAGGTAGAAATAAATATAAAATATTAAATTTGGGAAATCATAACCATAGAAAGATGGAAATAAATATAACCGTTGGATCAACATAAGCGATCTAACGGTAAGATTGACTAGATGTCACATGGGTGTAACATAACTTGGGTGTCACAATATCCTATCCCTATATATATATATATATATATATATATATATATATGGGCTTATCGTTCTCAATCTGCAGGCTATTAAAGATAATCGAATAAAGATAGATCAATGGTGATAAAGGAAGAGAGAGAAAAAGAGAATCATAACCATTCAAAGCTGAATCAATTAATATAAGAAAATAAATAAATAAAACGACGTAATTTTGGATGGCCGGAGATAAACTTTATCTTAAGCTGCTTGAGAAATGTTATCTCCAGTTATGTGCTTATCGTTTCTCAAGCTGTTTGAGATAATTTTATCTCCAGTTATTAAATCATAACCGTACAAAGATGGATCAATGTTAAGGAAGAGAAAGAAAGAGAATCATAACCATTCAAAGGTGATTAAACCTAATGTTGATCATCCATGAATGATTAAATAATTTAGATTAGCATCTCTCATGTGTCCCTACTTTATATTTTTTAAGAAGTTTCACAATCTTAATGAATTAGCATCTTCACTGTATTACCGTTGGCATGATCTTGGGAATATTCTTAAACCCCTTTTTCAGTCAACAATTGAGATTCTGGAATATATCTCATTCCCTCCCCCCTTCTTCTCAATTTCCACTAAGCCTATATTGTGGCTGTGCCACACCCAGCACCAGCAATTTGGAGTTGTTATGCATAACTTCATATATGCATAAATACTATGTGCGTTTGTCATCATTGACTTGTTAGTACCTTCTGCTTGCTTTGTGTGCTTGTATTCACTGAAAGAGGGCCATAAAAGTGTTTCCCACTTGTATGCTGTGTGATTGACCGTGTGCATGTGTGTTTGTTTGCATGTTGAGGCATAAAGAGGGTCCCAATATCCTTCAATTGCAGAAGAAATAAAAAGTATTGCAAGTGCAGATCCTGTTCATCGAAAGCTTTTTGTTCGTGGCTTGGCTTGGAATACCACTTCAGAAACTTTGCGTGCTGTGAGTGCATTGATGATTGTGTAGTGTGTCATGCATGTGATTGTTTCATGTCACATGGAATGTGCCCAACATGATTTGTATATGGAATGCCAGTTTCCATAACCCTCTATTTTTAACCCTGTACCTTGTCTCTGATCTCTAGTATCGAGCCTTCCTTATATACATTGCTTCTTAGAATTGTTCTTTTTTTCCAGGCATTTGAAGAGTATGGAGAAATTGAGGAAGGGGCTGTGATCTATGATAAAACAACAGGAAAATCCCGTGGCTATGGATTTATCACTTACAAAAATATGGAATCAACTCAGCGTGCATTGAAAGCAACTAGCAAGTTAATCGATGTAAGCTTTAACCCATTTTGTTGCAATGTGTATAAACAGGAATTGGTAATTTAGAAAAAAATTCAGTAAAGTTACATTTTTTGAACCTAAGGTGGATAACCAATAAAACACCGGCTGGTTATTTGTGATTTGCATTTTCTTAATGCTTCTAAGTTGTAGTTTAGTTGTGTGTAAGTCTTTTTTTGTCTTTATCCTGTAATTTGTGTGTCTGTTTGTAGCCATCATTGCTCCATTCCCGTAATTGATTTTAGGGTTTTTTTTCCTTTCAGGGAAGGTTGGCTGTCTGTAATCTTGCTTGTGACGGCCTAAGTGGAACAAGTAGTACTCCTGATCTTTCCCTGAGGAAGCTTTATATTGGAAGCTTATCACCAGAAGTCTCAAGTGAAATGCTGCTTAATTATTTTGCAAGGCATGGTGAAATAGAGGAAGGTTCAGTTGCATATGACAAGGATACAAATGAATCACGGTAAAAGTAGCAACATGATTTATTTGGATATAATATTTTTTTGTCTTTAATTTTTTATAGTAATCTTTTTACCTGGTTTTCCCTGTAACCTGTATTATTATTGTTTTATTTCCAATTGTAGTGGTTTTGGCTTTGTTACGTACAAGACAGCAGAGGCCGCAAAGAAGGCCATAGATGACCCTGAAAAGACTCTTGGGGTAAGCAAAAGCTTGAATTTTTATATGAAGTCTGAGGTTAGCTGTGAGTGTAGGACTTGATTATTTCTATGCTCAAAAAATGTCTTGGAATTGCAAAAAGAAAGATGGAAAGATCATTTTGAGTGAAAAGGCATCATAGTTATAAGGTGTACGTGAAAGTTCTATTAAAAAAAATTGATTTACACACTTTCAGGTAACTTGCTGTTTTAGGTGGGCAGATTGACTAATGTTGTTTGAGAAGGGGGAGGGGGACTTGTTTATCTTGTTTGGGGGAAATATTACATGGTGCATCTCCCAAGAATTGCCACCTGTCATTATTTATTGTTATTATTTTTAAAGCAGAGAGGTGTTAGTCCACCTAGTGCCTCTCTTTAAAAAAAATAATAAAGAATGATATGTGGCAGTCCCTCAGAGGAGCTAGGTGGACTAGCGTTTCTTCCAAGGACTCCCACATGTAAAAATCATCTCATATAGGGTAAATAAGTTTTTTTGTAAATATATATATATATATATATATATATATATATATATATATATATATATATATATTTTTGGCACCACATTGGTCAATCTTCCGTTTTAGCTGCAAATCTGGATTTCACTTTTCTGTGCACAGATGAATTTGTTAAAAAATTTGCCCTTATTTTGACTAAAATAAAGATCCACTTGTGTATTTGTAATTTATCTTACAGCACATTCAACTAGTCTGAACAATAATCTCAACCTCAACCCCTGTTCTTATTGGGGGGGTGTTTGTTTCAGGTTTTTGAAGAGGATTACCGGTAATCCTTCTTTGGTAAATGTAATTACCACGTTTGGTAGAAGGAATAAATTACGATTCCCGGATATCCAAGGATTACCGGTAATTTGATTTATAAAGAAAAGTCACTATTCAGATTACCAAAAATAATATGGTAATTCGGAATACCAATCAGAATACCAAATAAAGGGAAAGCACAATAATAAATTTTAAGACAAAAATACCCCAATACACATAAAAATCTAGACCCAATCTATCAATTACAAAAGTAAAATAGTTTGGGGTTATTTTTGTAAAATAACCTCATATTCCAAGTCATATTTCGTTCTAAACCAAATATGGAATCAGTAATTTTTACCCAATATTCCCGGTAATATTTTGGCGAACCAAACACCTCTTTCGTAAGATTCCAGGTAAACTCAATTTCTACTGAATTCCCATTAATCATGATTCCCGGTCACCAAAAAATTTCTCTTGTACCAAACACACCCTGGGAGTAGAGCTGATAGTGAAAGGGGAGTATAACTTATGGTAAAAACTGAAAAGTCTACTTTTACATGTGTTTGATTGAAGTTGTCATTTCTACAATTACTAAAATTGTAATTCATACTGCTTGATATTTTTTCATTGTAAAGTACTTGCTTTGGAGCTTGCATAAGGATTCAAGCTGTATATACATTGAAGCTAATAGATATTGTTCTTGTTTGGTTTCAGGGGAGGAATATAATTGTAAAATATGCAGATTCCCACAAGGGTAAAACTGGCCAGCCTCCATTTTCTGCAGGAGTGGTTTCAATGGCAGCCTTACCTATGGCCCCAGGATATGTGCAGCCTGGAAAAGCTCATATTAGTTCTGGCCCTCCTGTTGGATATACTTACCCATATGCTGCATCGCCTTACCCAAGCCCTGCGACTGCACCCTCTCCTTATCCAACACAAGGGCAGGTTCCTTATCCTCCAGTTTCTGCGAAGAAAGACCAACTTGGGCTCCCGCCAACTCAACCTGTGGGAATGAACAACAACTATCCTTATTACTATACCAAGCAATGAACGTAAACGTATAACTAAACATGGTGATATTGGTACTCCTTTGCTTTCCTTGTCAATTCTTATTAGCCCCACTACCTGTCAATATCATCATTGGTTATTAATGATGCTCTGCACCTTCCTTCCTTCTTCTTTTTTTAGCTTTTGCTCTCTCTTTTGTAGAATTTTGACATTCTTATTGCTTGTAATACTAGGTCAGCAACTCCTGTATCTAGAAAAAATAAAAAATAAATTATTTTTTCTGAATATTTTAGAAATGAGAATTTTTCAACGTTTTATCTGCCAACTGCTGTATGCATTTACGCAAGGAAACGTTTCAAATCATTTGCTAGTATTTGAGTGGTTTACATGGTCCATTAAAATATTTCAATGAAAATAAAAAGGCCATAAACTGATGGAAACTGTCTTTTCTACCACTAAAAGGAGTAGCGGAAAATAATAGTACGTGTTTCTTAAAAATTATGTGGTAAGATTGTGATTAATTTTTTTTTATGTTTATTTTATTTATTTATCTTAAATATCGTTAGATTAGAATTTTAATTAATATTCATTTTTTTCTTTTCTTTTAAAATTTTGATATATTGGAAATTAATAAAAAAATAGGCATAATATTTTCTTTTATTGAATAATAAATTATTATTTTATTCAAACTTATAGCTAGCAGGGACCAATATAATTTAGGTTATCAGCATTTCTTTATATTATTTTAATCTAGCAACATCACTAAAGGAATAATAATACGAAATTAACTTTCATACATATAAAATTCACATTCTATGTTGCACTATACTCTTATTTTACAATACTTAAGAAGCATAATATTTAACCTTAATGTGTAGCTTAGTTGATAAATTGACTGATCATTAATGAAGTCATGAGTACGATTCTTATAAGAAGTACTTTAAAGTTGGTAGTGAAATTTTTTTTGCTCCAAACCACAAAACTATGGGTTCAATTCCTATAAGAAATAGTTTGATGCAAGTGGTGAAAATCTTCTCATTTTATGAAGAAATTAGTCTCGTATTACATGATAGACACACTTGAATTTACTAAAAATATATATAATATTTTACAGTACTCTCTTTTATTTCTGAACAAATAAATTTACTTCTCGATGTGATTGAATAACCCAACAAACATATTTGCTAATTGCTATCTCTGTTATGCCTCCTTACACATTTTCTTCATCGTAACTTTTCATTAGGTTTTCAAAGTTTTTGGGTCTTCTTCATACTTTGTTATAGTTTCTCATGGTTACTCATCTCACTTATTGTCTTTTCTTCATCGTCTCCAAAATGGACGTAATTTACTTAACAATGGAGGACAGAGCCCTTCACTGCGCTGTTAGATCCCCTTATCGGAGACGTGTCTTCCTTCTCATTTCCCGGTAATCCTCTCTTTATTTTATTTTTATCCCTTTCAGCTTCGACTTCAACTGAACCTTCTTCTCGCCCCAAAACGACACAGCATCCCAAAGGGGCTAAACTCCTCTTCTTCTTCTTCTGCTTCGAAAACTGTCGATACCCATGATTATCCACTTTCGAAAACTGAGATTAACGTCGACACTTTCCAATGTTGCCCGAAACAACCTTAACCTTAAACCCTCAGAAAACCCTAGATTCCAGAACACGAAAAGAGCACTTCAATCGGACGCGAAACTCCCTCGAAAAGCGATCATGAAAGAAGCCCAAGCTGCATTGCTGGAGTATCTGCATTCCACGAGGAGCTTGCAGTTCTTGGACGCCGACAACATGTGCAAAAACTCGCCTTTTTTCCTTCAAGACCTTCTCCGCAAAATTCAAAAGAACCACGATGATGGGGACATGAAACGATCCATTTCCCGCTACCTGCGTTACCACCCCATCAACGAGTTCGAACCCTTTTTCGAAAGTGTGGGTTTGAAGCCTTCCGAATACGCGCCCCTTCTTCCCCGAGGCATGATTTTCCTCAACGATGACCATTTACTGATGGATAATTATCACACTCTCTGTAACTATGGTGTTCCCCGTTCCAAGATGGGGAAGATTTTTAATGATGCACCTCAAGTTTTTCGTTATGATAATAGGGTTTTGCAGTCAAAGCTTGAGGCTTATGAAAAGCTGGGTGTTGCATCATCTATTTTGGTTAAAGCTATTGCTTCTAGCCCCTTCCTTTTGGTTGGGGATGTTAACCTTGGTTTTGTCAAGGTTGTGGAGAAGTTGAAGCATCTTGTTGTTGCAAAGGATGATAGTTGGATTGAGGGGCATTTGTTGGATGGGGTTTCTTTTAATTGGGGCATGATGCTTGAGCTCTTGTCCTTGCTTGGCAAGGTTTATAGGAAGGGACAGTTGGCTGACCTGATTAGCCGGCACCCTTGTGTTGTTTTTGAGGATTCAGGAGGTAGGACACTATCCCTGATTGGCTTCTTGTTCAAATTTGGATTGTCTCTGAACCAGATATCTCTCATTTTTCTTGAGTTACCGCAGATTCAGATTGGCAAGTTCTTCTCCAACTTGAGGCATTGTTTTCTGTTCCTGAGTGAAATTGAGATGCAGGCTGCAGAGATTGGAAGGATTTTCCAATCTCACTCCTTGCTGCTTGGCTCCTCCACTCTAAAGAAAACAACTAGTTTACTTGGTAACTTGAATGTTGGCAAGAAACGGCTCTGTAGAATCATACAGGATAATCCTCAAGAAATGAAGAATTGGGTTCTGGGAAAAAAACTTCAACCTTTGGAGAACTCCAACGAAGAGCAAGAATCAAAGATGCTGAAGACAGAGTTCTTGTTGAGCTTGGGATATGTAGAAAACTCGAAAAACATGGAGGAGGCATTTAAGCTGTTCAGAGGTAAGGGAGCTGAGCTTCAGGAGAGATTCGATTTTTTTGTTAAAGCTGGCTTTGATTGTGAGGATGTTCGTAAAATGATTAGAGTTGCCCCTCAGATTCTTAATCAGACCACAGATAGGATCAACATGAAAATTGAGTATCTTGTAAATGAAGGATATCCTATATCAACTTTAGTGAGCTTCCCATCTTTTCTTTCCTACACACCTCAAAGAGTTAAGCTTAGGTTATCAATGTATAATTGGCTCCAAGACCATGGAGCTGCAGATCCCGGGCTTGCTTTGAGCACTCTAATTGCATGCTCAGAGAAAATATTCGTATCACAGTATGTAAAGCGTCATCCATCTGGCCCTAAAGTTTGGAAGGATTTAAAGACAGAAATTTATTCTGAGGATTAATATATAATCACTTCTGATGTGCATAGTAATGGTTTAATCTGGCAATATGTTTTCTGGTTCAGATAATTGTGTTTCTCCTACTTTTACCAACTCTCAAGCATGATTAAACTGCAAGTTGTATTCTGAAACCATCACTTCAAGTTGACTTGGAGATTAATAAACACATCATGGGTTGGCAATTGAAGATCAGTTATGTTAGTGGGCATATCTTTGACATGAAATCATCATAGACAACTAATGAATAACAGTTTTCATGAGCAAACATCATAGGTGATTTCTGATTGCAGATATTTCTGACATGACTTGTAGATGGAAGAATGTTGGTTACATAGATTTTATTGTGTAAGTCACCATCTTCAACGTATGTAGTTACCCACTTACCTGAGCTACATTGCAGATCACTTTCCAAGTGTTAGATTTTCTAACTTAACGTGTTCCTCATGTATGAACGACACGGCAAATGGAACTGCTGAGGATGAGAAACTGTATTCTTTTATAATTTAAAGTAAGATAACCAGGTTTGTTGGGTTGAAAGCTATCAAATATGTTAACATGGCTTATTTTGGCCACCGTAGAAATTGTTAAAAGGAACACTTGTGCCTCTGAAATCACACGTTAGAAAGAGATTTATATTATGTGTTACCTTGATATTTTTGGACAATTATTGTACTTGTGTTGGTAGAAATAGCAAGGTATAGTAAATATCAAAATGTTGCAGAGAACTCATATTGCAATTTGTATGTGACTTAGAACTTTTTTATATATCGGAGTCAGCTGAAATTGTTAAAATCCATCAGAGTCAAAGCTTCAAGAATATCAGCTTTCTTCAAGATGAATAATAAGATGTTGGTATTTGGGAGCCACGCAAGAGGAATAATTGATCATATCTAGCATTTAGTTGGGTGACAATGTTTTTTATTAAGGCATTTTTATATACTATAAATTTAAAAAACAAAAATTGAGGAAGTCAGTAACTCAGTGGCATTATGCTATTAGTGGCTCATGATTCCTTCACATGATTTGGTTAGAATTTCTGCCTTTCTTGCTTGGGCAAAAGTCTAGTATTCAAATGCAATGTTTAAAGCAACCAAGTTTACCTTTAGCTATTGGCTAACCAACGTTCTTCTTAACTTTGAAATTCTAGATTAGGTGGCTCGCTTCAATTGCTCATTGGCATTGAAAATTTGCAAGTCTAGAAACTTTCATAAGCAAGTATAGAGTGTAATTTGAATTGTCCTTTCATTAGATGATTAATATTGGACTCTCAACTTGGAACTCGTTAAACGGCATCATTACAATCGGACAATGGCTCTACGGCGGGTCCAACAACTAAGTTGCGTTTTTTATTTTGGATTTTGGTTTTGTGAGGGGTTTTAGTATAATTATTTTAAAAAGTAGAGTAAGTATTAAGTATATTTTTGCGCTTTTAATGAATCAGTTTTTTTTTTTTTTTTTTAATCTTAGCAAGTAGTCAAGTACTATAAGGACTCATTAGTAAATTCCTTTTTTATAATAATAATAATAAAAATAAAAACAGAGAATTTCAAAATATATAATTGCTTGTTGATGTCTATAATGACGTCACAAATTGTAATCGAGGTGTAATCATACGTCGTATATCAAAATTCAGGATTCATCAGTAATGAAATTGTCATATTATATATTATGCGTAGGATTAATATTTGACACATGACTAATTATTAATGTATAAACATATTTACACTAATTATTTTAAAATTTCATTTAAAGTTATGTTAAAAACTAGTAAGTATGATCCACACCAAAAAAAAAAAAGAAACTAGTAAGTATGATAATTTTTTTAATGTATCATCCTTCAGCTGTATGTAGTTTCGAAATCTATCAAATAAGTTTTAATATAGTAATGTTTTTCATAAACTTTAAATATACTTTTAGTCAACATTATAGTTAATAAGGAGTTATACTTTGCTACCCATAAGGATATTTCCAAATGATAAATAAGTTTGAATTTAGCAGTTTTAGACGCTTAATATCAAAAGCTCGAGCTTGTGGGGAATTTCTCATGTTCAGGGATAATTATAATAACCCAAGTGAGAATTAATTCCAAACCCAAAAGGTATGAAAAAAAAATCTTCTCAGACAAGAAAAAAGCAATACTTTAATAAACAAAATTTTACATTACAATTTCAGTATAATTTTACCGACAATCAATAAGAATTAGGCGCTGTGGTAAACATGTAGCATTTTTAAAGGGAGGACAAAGTTTCAGATTTTGAAGTTGGAAAGGACCTTAGGAGTGATCCATTAGTCAAAGATAAGATGTTTATATAGTATAACGTTTACATTACAATTTAGTATAATTTTTCCAACAATCAATAAGAATTAGGTGTTGTGGTAAATATGTAACATTTTTAAAGGGAGGACCAAGTTTCAAATTTTGAGTTTGGAAAGGCCCTTAGGTGTGATCCATTGGTCAAAGTTAGAATTTTAGCATAATTTTATGATTAATATTTTTTTATGATTATTATTTATTACTATAAAACAACCCATAATAAAAAAATCTCAACTCTTAGCTATCTTCCATTTTCTATTTTCCTCTTACTTCCCCTCTAATTCAGTTCTTTCTCTCTGCATTCTGTGAGTTCTTTCTTTGGTTGCTGCTCTCTAACCTAGTTCTCCATTTTCACTCATCAAGTCTCAATCTTTAAGATGATATTTCTCTTTTCACATCAGTTTTCTGATCTGGGTCTTCACCTTCTCTAACTCAGATCAAAATTCTGACCACTTTTTCCTTCTCTGTTATGCCTTATTGCTAGCCATTCACAGAAAAACCAGTACTTTCATTTGGGTTTACCCAGTTTCTGGACTTGTATAATCTGATTTTGTAAAATGGGTTATGTTTGAGATGCAGAAAGTTGATTCAAGATACGAGGTCAGCTTCATTTCTCTTCTGTGTCTTTTGCTTACTCAATCTCTATTCTCTTTACAAATCATATGCCACCGAGTCTACAATGTTATTGCTGACTTTTTGTTACTTCTGATAAGTATCATCATCTTTTTATTCCTTATAATAAACTTGGGAAGTGATTTTAAGTTCTTTTTTCGTTATAGTTTTCTTATTGTTTCGGACCAGATAAATTTATGGTCTACTTACATTGTGCTTGTACTAGATCGAACATATGGTTACAATTTTTTTTCATAATATCTGTGTTTATATTCTGTTTCTTTGGTTTCTTAGCATTGAAACTATTATTATGATTTGGGTTTCTCTAGATCATTGCTAAAAAATGAAGCGGGCTTCATTTGTTCCGTTTAGGATTAGGTGATCCGTGATATGGTTCAGTTTTGTTGCTATGGAGAACGATTTGGAATGAGATGTAATATTTTCACGGATAGATTTGTTTGTAATTTTCCTAGTTGAAAATGGAGATAATTTGATTTTTATTTATTTATTTTTTCATTGGCTTTTCAGAATTTCAGAAATAGTAGTGCGCAAGTCCAGTGCTTGTGTATGTTTTTTCTGCTTATTGATTTTTCAAAATGGTGTTTAAGTTTTTTTTGTGTTGTTCATTTGATTGACTGAGCATCTGTAACAATATCTTGAAGTCCTTGCTTTTGGATCACATCAGAATTTCAACTGATGTATTCTTTTTTTGATACTTAAATAGTAAAAGACTGAAGAGAAATTATAATTGCATACTTGATCTCTGCTACCTTTGATTTAATACAAACAAATAATTGATGCAAGTGATACTTAAAAATGAAACATTGCCTCTGAGGTAAAGTGTGGCAGAAGTGGTTTGCAAGTAGCATTATGTACAGTTTTAACTATCAGCTTTCATTATTATTCAGTTATTTGGTCTTCCTTTGGCCTTTCAAGTATAATTGTTCTGTCTGTGCAGAGTTCTTAAAGAGATATTTAGTACATTTTATCAACAAAGTCCTTTGAGTATGGGTAGAGGCAGAGGAAAAGGGAAGAAGCAATCTGCTATTGCTGAGGATCCTGGAAGTGGTGAAGAGGATAAAGTCCCAGCTTACAGAAGAAGAGGAAGACCAATAAAGCCACTGACGGATGAAATTGAAGAAGTAGAAGTAACTGAAAAGATAGAGAAGGATGAGGAGAATGTTAAAGGTAATGCTTCCAGCAATGACTTGAAAACTCAGGTTATCACAGTTAACAAAAGAAAAAGGAAGAGGTCTACACAGGTTAAAGAGAAGGTAGATCCAATGAAAGAGGAAAATGGCATTCGAGCAAAGACAAGCCCTGATGACTCGGTAAAGTCTGCCGGATTCCGACAGAATGGGAGCCGGCGTAAGAACAAGCCTCACCGTGCTGCTGAAGCTGGTGTAGATTGCAAGTGAGCAAGGTTGTCTTGATAGTTTTAAGCCCTTGGCATTGCTGATACTTTGTTATCACAAGATGGGGTTCGTTTGATTATGTAAGGCTTGTTATGGTTGCTTATTATTATTCTTTTTGCTATTGTAACTCTCATCTCATTGTTATTTTTAAAAAATCGCATATTTTAATTTTGGGGATTCATGGTTCTTTAGCCTTCTATAGAGATACTTCCCTAAAAGAAACTATGGAATTTTGTAGATATTCCTTTATCATGAGTTTGTATAAGTTGATTTCTCTGTTCTCTCACATGGTTTCTGTTAGGTAGATTTGTTTACTTGACATGCATATATGATGTATGTGATGTCAAGGAGTCTAACTCATGGAATACAGAGTAATTGCATGCTGCTAAACTGAAGCCTTCACTTAGGGGGATTATATTTCTCTAAGACTAAATAGTAAAATTAATCTCTCACATATATAAAGTTGGTCATTTTAATTCTAGATGGTAGGTATTATGTTTGAGGTCCCTAAATATGCATTTTGTAGGTCTAATTAGGCCACGCGTAAAGTTAATGGAGACGTATGCATGTGGTAAGGCAACTTTCTTCCTACTCCCATAATTGAAATGATGTCAGTCTTGCCTTCATCTTTTATAAGTCTTCTCCAACTTTCCTTAGTGATGGGCCCTTAATGCAAAACCTTCAATTTTGCATTGAAGTTTCTCAACATAAAGCTTCACCCACCCATTTAGCCACCACCATAGAACCCACAACATAAGTGATGGATCTTAAGTGTAATTTTTATTATTTAAAATTTAATATAACTGATTCTATATTTCCCATTAATGAATTAATTTAACTAAGTGCTCCTTTTGTCAAAAATCTGAATTCTTACCGCAACATATTACCATACAGTTACTAATGGTGGGAACATGCATAATCTTATACCACTAACTTAGAAGTTATTGTTGCATCTTTATTAATGAGTTACTATGCAGTCTCAGATCTTGTCCATATTGAATAAATATGGCGCTATTTCGTGGTAGATAGAAATTGCAGAAGTTGTGGGTGGATCCATACTCTGCCTCGATAATTTATAATGACATGCATACATGCAAGCAATTGCACAAAAGCTCATATTGTATGTATTTTAACTATAAATAAATAAGTGTATATATATATAGGGGCAGATTATATTTACAAACTCTTACAAACTACACTATCTTTTCCTAGGAAAACACTAGGTACACTATGTTCCTCACGAGAGAAGATAGTGTAATTTGTAAAAAAAATTTGTAAATGGATCCTTCCCATATATATAGGTAAAATCATTTCTGTAGCCGCTTTACGTACAACAATCAAATACTTGGCATATATATATTTGAAAGCATACAAAGGATGAAAGCATTAAATGTGGAGAATCATAACCATACACCTGTTGTTGTTGTACGTACAGCGACTGCAGAAATGTAAATCTCATATATATATATATATATATATATATATATATATATATATATATATATATATATATATGAGATTTACATTTCTGCAGTCGCTGTACGTGCAGCAATCAAATACTTGTCATATATATACGCGAAAGTATTAAATGTTGAAAATCATAACCATACATAAGATGAAAACATTAAATGTGGGGAATCATAACAATACACCTGTCATTGTTGTGTGTAAAGCGGCTATAGAAATGATTTTACACACACACACATATATATATGAAAAAAATATTACTCAAGTTGTTTGAGATATATTTATCTCCGGCAAACTTAAAACTACGTCGTTTTGTTTTATTTATTTTCTTATATTTATTGATTCACCTTTGAATGATTATGATTTTCTTTTTCTCTCTCTTCTCGTATCACCATTGATCCATCTTTGTACGGTTATGATTTAGTGGCCGGAGATAAAGTTATCTCAACCAACTTAAGAAACGATAAGCCCTATATAACTTTATCGTTTTTCAAGTTGCTTGAGATAACTTTATCTCCGGCCATTAAATCATAACCGTACAAAGATGGATCAATGATGATAAGGGAATAGAGAGAAAAAGGAAATCATAATCATTCAAATGTGAATCAATAAATATAAGGAAATAAATAAACAAAATGACGTAGTTTTGGGTTGGTCAGAGATAAATATATCTTAAGCAGCTTGAGAATATTTTTCTTATATATATGACTTTAATGTTTCTACATCAAAACGCCGTCGTTTTGGGTTGAAAAATTAAAAAACTATAATGATAAATACTATTATAACCTTGAAATAAATTATAATTGCAAAATACTTTGATTTTTGCTCCAAAACGGTGTCGTTTTGGGCTCAATGTAGATAACTTATTTATATTGACTGCAGAAAAAACGAACCCTATATATATATATATATATATATATATATATATATATATAGAGTAAATACTATTTTTGGTCCTCAGCAAATTTCACGATGCCCGCTTTAGTCCCTAGCAAATAAAAAGGCCCATCGTGGTCCCTAAGAAATTCAAAATTGACCCATTTTAGTCCTTTTAGGGACTAATATGGGTCTTTTTTGAATTTATGAGGGACCACGATTTCAACTAAATGGATCCATTTTGAATTTCTTAGTGACCACGATGGGCCTTTTTATTTGCTAGGGACTAAAGCGGACATTGTAAAATTTGCTGAAAACCAAAAATAGTATTTACTATATATATATATATATATATATATATATATATATATATATATATATATAGGAGAGATATTTTTACTACTCAAATTTTTCACTACCAACTTACTACCTATCTAATCATCATTGGATCAAAGAGAGATAATGTTAAAAAGTTTTTGAAGATAGAGAAAATGTTAATCCAATGGTGATTAGATAGGTAGTAAGTTGATAGTGGAAAATTTTGGTAGTAAGAATATCCCTCCTCATATATATATAGGGAAAAGTGTGTGTCATTTTAAAGGATGTAAAATTGTGTCATTTTAAAAGAGAGAAAGAGATAGATAAAAAAGGAGAGAGAGTTGACAAAAAATTAAAAGTGTGGATCTCACCTCTTTGTGAGAGTGAAATAATATAAGTTGTGTCATTTAAAAGGATAAACACTTTTTTGCTTTATATATGGAAAAGTGATTGTGTAATGTTATAGAGATTCGTTTTGCGTGTCGTAGTTTTTTTTTTGCTTCAAAAAGTGTGGGCCCCACAAAATGTTGTGTGTGTAGGAAACTTTCTTCTGTCATGTTAAATGATAAATGCAAATATATATATATATATATATATATATATATATATATATATATATATATTGTTTACATAACTTATATGGTTTATATAAGTATCTTTTCTCATATAACAATTTGTATTGAGTATGAATGTCAAGTATAACAAATTATGGAAATCCTAAAAAAATTGTTTTGCAATTGTTGGACTGTAATTTGGTGAAACTGTTTAAGTTTCATCCCACACTTATTTCAAACAAGATGTGCGTTGAATGTTGTAATCAAGCTGTCTGATAATAAAGGAGATGAAACTTTCTAAAATCTTTGAGGCAGCACCTTTCTTGAAGCCCTATTTTTTTTATATTTTTGGAAATTACATTTGAAGCCCTAATTTTCATTTTTCCGTTGGTCTGATTGCGATAAGACATAAACACATGAATTACCGTGTCATACCTCATATGGATGAATTACTTCAGGTTTCTACAAAAGCAGTTGATTGATCTGGATATCATTGAATCAGGCGCATGTGCCATTTGCTGCTTTGAGCATGTTTATTATGCTTAGTCCCAATGTTGAAAGATGCAGAGCTAAAAACTGGAAACAGAAAGAAGAGATTTAGTACCACTTCCATAGTCATCAGACCCTTTTATTATCAATAACTTGTTCGGTCCTTGTTATAAGATGTTTTGTTCAATAATTCTTGATGTTCACATTGTTTTATTTTAGGGTTTTATAATTCTCATCGTTGAAGAGATAAAAAGTATGTGAGACCCATGTGTTAGAAAAAATTATATGTAAGACTCATGTCAGCACGAAAATCGAAGGGTGCGTAAGAAAATTGTAATTCTCATGTTAAATGAGAATTATAAAACCCTTTATTTTAACAAGTTTAATTTTTTCTAATTGAATCTTAAATCCCACACACAAAACGGTTAATCTTGAACTAATTAAAATATGGGTTTTATAAGAGTTATGTTATATGAAAAGTGATTGTGTAATGTTATAGAGATTCGTTTTGCGTGCCTTAATTTTTTATTTATTTTTTTGTTTTAAAAAGTGTGGACCCTACAAAATGTTGTGAGTGTAGAAAAGTTTATTATGTTATGTTAAAGGATAAAACGAAAAACCTTAAAATATACTATAAAGTAAGTAAAGTTATGAACTCTGGACATTATTTTAATTCAGTTAAGAAGATATGAAAGGGCTAATTTTTTTTTAAGGATAAATTAAACTTTATTTTTTTCTTTTTTTCATATAACTTCTCTTATTTATGTGACCTAACCTCTTTAATTTTGGTTTAAGTTGAAAATGTTAATTTTTCAATTAACTTTAAGAACAGTTTAATATTTTTTTTAACTTACTCTCCTAAAACATAGTTTTAAGGGATAATGCACAACATCGATTTTAATTGGATAAATTGTTAAACCACAAAAGAATAAAGTGTAAAATGAACAGGAAAAACTACTCTTATGATACATGTGATAACTTTCTCTCCTACACATTCTTCGATAACTGTGTCACTTTTTTCTTTTCTTTTATTTTTATTTTTTAGATGGTGGAGCCCACAAATTTGTCTCTATGACATGAGATAATTTATCTCCTTTAACATGAGATTAATAAAATCCAAAATAAATAATAGTTAACGTTAAAGTTAACATTTAACTTAAATCAAAATTGAGAGAGATTATTAAGTGGGAAAAAAAAAGTTCAATAGGACAAAAGATACATCCCTTTCTTTTGTAGCACCCGCTAGCTAGTGTGTGACAGACAGAGACACATAAAATTGCACAAAACATCAGTTACACTTGTTAGGGCCAGTAATGGTTAAAATGCGAGATTACAAGAAGCACCCAACCAACAACAAAAGAAAACACACTCATCAAAAAACACAAGAAAAGATAAAAACAAAACAAGTGGTACAATCTCTCTCTCTCTCTCTCTTGGCTGTCGCTTTACCTCCATTATTTTTGGTTTTGGACAGAAAGAGAGAGAGAAAGAAGAGGGAAGGCGTTTTGTTTCTCTGACTACACAACTCTCTTCTCAGTGTACCATACGCTGCACTGGCCACTGCTAATATGGCCCAGCGTCAAGTCTCTCCTTTTGTCTTTCACTTTACTCTCTCACTACCGTTCCTTTTTTGAACAATCTCTCTCACTCTCTATCTCTCTCATTCTTATACACATCCTTTTTCTTTCTCTTCTCAATCACAATGAATGGACTCTAGTCACCACACCACACCACATAGCTTGAGAAATGGGTTCAGAAGCTTACACAAAATCACCACCCAACTCATCTTCTGAGTCCCTCAATGGCTTGAAATTCGGCCACAAAATTTACTTTGAGGATGTGGGTTTGGCTACTCCTGCCAGTGCCACCTCCGTTGCCGGTTCCTCCGGTTCAAAGAAAGGAAGAGGTGGTTCGGTTCAGCCGGCTCAGCCACCTAGGTGTCAAGTTGAAGGATGTAAAATAGATCTGAGTGATGCCAAAGCTTACTATTCTAGACACAAAGTCTGCGCCATGCATTCCAAATCCCCTACCGTCGTTGTCTCTGGTCTCCAACAACGGTTTTGTCAACAGTGTAGCAGGTCAACTCTCTTTTTTTATTTTTTTATTTTTTTATTTTTTATTTATCTTCTTCATCTTCTTGTGCTATTTTAATATTTTACAGTAATGGGTAAGTTAAGGTAGGGTTTGGTGGTCCTCTTTATTTTTTGGTATTATTATTTTCTTTTTTTAACTTTATTTTGTTCTTCTACGGTTTTGGCTGTTTGTAGTGTAGGCCTGTAGCTTGTTTTGTCGGTGCAGTTATCTAGTTTTGTTACTTAGTTTATGTAGTTTGTAGTGTAAGCTTTTGCTTTTGTTCTAAGTTTGTGTGATTCTTTGTGTCTGTTCTCTGGAGGTCTTTTGTTCAGTTATAATTTTGGGTTGATTGCGTTCGGTCATCGGTGTACTTTGCTTTTCCTGTACCTTTGCTTTAAAGTGCTTAACTGAATGGCTGTCCGATAAAGCGTGTGAGATATTGTTTTCCTTTTCGGCGAATTGATTCTTGCACTTCGGGTTGTGTTTGGTGTTAAAATAATAACTGAGTTAGTACGGAAAAAGGTTTGAAATGGGTGTGCTAACTAATAGTCTGAAAATAACACCACTATGATGGTTTCCCTCTCGCCTTTGTGGGGTACGGACCATTAAATGTGTGTTTATATAGTATGATGTTGCTTTGGTTATTATTGATGTTTGGTGGCTGGTTTATATTTATGTATTTGATGCTGCTGTTGCTACCATGGAATTATAGATGACAATGGTTTTCTATTTTATGTTTTTGTGTTGTTTATTTATTTATTTATTTTATTTGGGTTTATTGACCCCAGACCCCAACTGGTTTGAGAACTCTTTTGAGATAAAGATGTTGTTGATATTGAAGTTTTGCAATGTTTATGTTCTGGTTTAGGCTTGTCAGGGGCTTGTTCTCTATATGATAGTGGTGCTTTTGTGAGTTTTTGTTGTTCCTTCTTTTCTCCTTTTTTTGTTCCTGATATCATGGACCGTTCCTGAAGGAAAAACGAGAGCTATTAAGGAAGTAAAGAGCTATAGAAATAAGGTTGAAACATGAAGTAAGAAGTCAAACATGTGAAACTATATATATTAATCACACAGATATATGAGAAAGTCCTTATCTGTGTTAAGATAAAACCAATTATTTAGTTCAGTTTTAGAAATCAAGTTGTTTTGTCATGCTAAGACATATCATTTCTACTACAAGAGTAATGCCTTTGTTGATCTGAGCGGACCTAGGGTTCTTAAAGTATGCATTATTATCATAATGCCTCCTTAACTCATGTTAGTTATCTTACCATATAGTTGACTTGTTACCTTATTGAGAATGAGACAATGAGTACAATTGCTGGATAATGCAATCCAGGTCACTTGCTTTGCTTTTGTGATTATTCATCTCTATTCTGTTGCATGGTTCTAGCTTCGTCTCATGTACTTTTCAATTTGACTTGCTGATGCTAGAGCATACTGCTGAGCATTCTAAGAGAGTGTTCAATGGTAAAGTATTACTAACAAGCTTGTATTTTGGAGATGGATGGCCATCATAATTGGGAAGTGTCTGACCTTAAGATCTCTCGAAAATGTGGTCTATCAGTCTGTGAATGTGGTTCCCATACACAGTTGTTCTGGAACTGAGTTAGCTTTCTGGTGGCAGTGCCAAGTTTAATTTGCGTCTTCTTTGGGGTTATGGTTCATCCAGGATTGAAAAGGGTTTTCTAAGTGAAATGTTACACTTTTGATCTGTATTGTTTCAAGTTAAGGAGCATGGTATTTTCCATAACGGGAATAATCAGATAATGGACTCCAACAAAATAAAACAATACTCTTCTGAATGTGCTAAGATAAAGTACTACTCAAAAGGATAATGGAAAGATATTTAAGATGGATATTTTTAGAATCGGTAGTCTCAGCATTTCAGATAATACTATTGTAATTGGTGGAACAAAAGGTCATCTATTTTATGTTTGTAATAGCAAAATGAATCTACATTGTGGTTTATCCCCCGTATTCAAGCTTGATGACTTCTCTTTTGAATTATTCTGCTATATTATACTAAAGATAATGATATTCCTCTTGTCATTAATGAAGAGAAAGAAACTTATCAGTATTGTTTCGGTTTTATTTTATTAATACATTAATGATGAATTCTAGGTATCATGGAGCCACAGGATGTTCCTTGAGACATGTTTGAGGATCTCATTTATAAAATTTATTAGTATTCCTCCTGTCAATAAGGAACATCTTATATTGCCAATATATGCTCTCTCATCCAATGCAAAACATGCTCACATCACTGCAAGATGTGAGAATTATTACTACATCTAATGGAAATATACCTTTACTTGGGGTTCATACATATTCTTTTGTTCTGTAATCTTGTCAATGATGACTAAATCAAGTCAGTTAGAAATTTCATCTCATTCACCTCTCTATTTAATGAGAAACAAGAGATACTTCAAGTGCATCCAATTTTTTGGTAGCAACACCATGACATGTAATGCTAGGAAACAATAGATTTGTCATGTTAGCATTTTTTACTGTCTTGGCCCTTGTGTATGCTTGTGCTCATTCGTCTCTCTTCTGCATAAATTGGTAGCATTTATATCTTAGAAAAGCTAATATCTTGTTTCATTGCCTTGCCCAGATTTCATCAGCTTCCTGAGTTTGATCAAGGGAAAAGAAGTTGCAGGAGGCGACTAGCTGGCCATAACGAACGTCGGAGAAAGCCCCCGCCCAGCTCCCTCTTAACCTCTCGTTATGCCAGACTTTCTTCATCTATTTTTGGTCAGAAACTAATAGTGAAATAACGATTTGAAATCTCTTTACTTAATTTTTCCATAGGGAAGCATCAATAGTTTCAGCTTGTGCTATTCCTGGTATATAAAACAAATTCAAATGTTATTGACAGATAATAGTGGCAGAGGTGGCAGCTTTCTGATGGAATTTGCTTCATACCCAAAGCTTAGTCTGAGAAATTCACATTCAACTCCTAGATCACTTTCATCTGAGCTAGTTCCTGGAAATCAAACCACAACACATAGCTGGCAGGGCAACTCAGAGACACCATCTGACCTCTTCTTGCAAGGTTCAGTGGTTGGGACAAGCTTCCCTGGTCCCAGACATCCTCCAGGGGAAAATTACACTGGAGTCACAGACTCAAGCTGTGCTCTCTCTCTTCTGTCAAGTCAAACATGGGGTTCTAGAAACACAGCACCAAGTCTTGGGTTGAATAACATGTTAAATTTCAATGGGACACCCATGACGCAACTTGCTGCATCTTCTCATGGTGCAGCCATCCATCAACTTCCGAATACCTCGTGGTGTTTCAAGGACATTGATCCCGGTAACTGCTCACACACGGTTGTGTCTGATCTAGGTCTCGGTCAAATGTCGCCACCTCTCAACAGCCAACTTCCTTGTGAGCTCGATCTGTCCCAGCAGGGAAGGAGGCATTATATGGATCTAGAACAGCCCAGAGCCTATGAATCTCCTCACTGGTCACTTTAATGCACTTGTTTGTTGTCAAGGCTTGTAATAACATGCAAACACAAATATCCAAACTCTAGAAAAAAATGAGAAGTGAACCTGCGGCTTCTTAGTTACTTACCACACTGATGCTATTTGCTTGTTTTGATTTGTTTAAACTGATAAGCGAGGTGGGTAGCCTTGCTTCTTTTTGTTGAACTTGCAGGCTCGAAATGAATCATTTGAGGTTGGATATTGTTACTGTCTTTGGCATAGGTCGATGCCCCGGAAGGGTGGGAGTTCAAATCTTGGATTCATTTTGTTACTTTTGTCTACTAAATGAATCCAACAAATATATAATGATGCTTGTAGTAAGTATAACTTTTTTCAAAAATCTTTTAATATATTCATATATATAATCTAACAAGTTGAGATGTTGGTTCCTCTTATATAAAAAATAAAGTCAGATTTTTATAAAATATAATCGAATATAATTAAGTTATAAATAATTGTAATTGATTAAATTTATATCTTTTGTTTACTTACTCTATTTTATTTTATTTAAAATAAGTATTACAATATAGGCCGGTCTATAGGCTTATAGGTTAGACTTTGTGAAAGTGGACTTACGGCCTATTTATTAAAAAAAAATTTAAAGGCCTAAACCCGATGTATTTTACGAAATATACGATATCAGGCCTAGTCAGGTGTAGGCCGAGTCGTAGGCAGCCGGCCCGGCCCAGTTTCACATCTAATAGAGGGTGTTGGCTTGCTTCAAATAACTAATTAAGGTCGGTATATCAAAAAAAAAAAAAATCTGAATAATTGGTATGTGAAATTAGTGCGTTTGGAATCTAATATAAAATAACTTCACTTGTATTACTTATAAACGAATTTTTATCTGAAATTCATTCGAAATGATTTTTCAAACATTCCCTGGGAACTGCAATAATTCATAATCATCAATTAATTTGTTTGGCGGAGACGTAATTCAGTCCTTTATAAATGGGCCCACTTCCCCTTTGAAGTCCAGAGCTAATTCTTCGAATTGGGCCCAAGAGTTGCGTGATAAACCAAAGCCCAGTTAAATTTGTTATAGGCCGAATTGGTTGTTTCGCGCTCAAAACTAACGAACTGTAGAGTCTTCTTCTTCGTAAATGGTTACTATATAACGGACTCAGCTAGGTGGACCCCATGTTTCCATGAACTAATACTGAGCGCATTAACATTTGAAAACACCAATCTCACTGTCACAGCTTGATGCAATCTTGATTCTTTTTCTTTATTTTCCGTTCTGTTCCGTTCATTTCTGTTCCATTCAAGAACAAATTGTATGTTTGTTTGTGAGCTAAGAAAGCAGAGGAAGACGCAAAAAAAAAATTATTGATGACATTACCGTGTGTTTTCCAGGAAAGGAAAGAAAGGAATATTCTTGACCGATGGTTCTGATTCTCGGGAAAATGGTTTTCGACTTCCTCTATGTGCATCTCAACCTCGTTTTCTTCTCTTCTATTTTGATTTCTCAGTGCTTGGCGTTCACTCATCCATCTGAAGGTAACTCGGATAATTCACTTCTGCTGTGCTATAATTTTTTCTTGGAAACAAGTAATTGAAAATCTTATCAGATATCATCGTATTGTAATGTCTGCATTTTCATTTCAGATTCTAAAACCTAGTTTCATCCTTTAGACTTTTATTATCCGATTTTATCCATTTTAACTTAATTCGACGTTGGATTAGTTTATGCTCTTTCACTAAAGCATAAATTTCTTGTGTGTGTGTGTGTGTGTGTGTTTTTTTGGATAAATAGTCTGGGCTCTCCAGGATCTATACAGGGCCTTAAACTACCCATCAGTGCTCCAAGGATGGAATGGAAGCGATCCTTGTGAGGAGTATTGGACAGGAGTTGTTTGTTCTGGGGCATCAGTTGAACATTTGTAATGCACCAACTCCACTGGTTATATTTCCTATTTAGATCATAACGCCACTAATAACTGTTAGCTATGCTCTCTGTCAACATGCAGAAAAATTCAAGGATTAAACCTCACTGGGTGTTTTGGAAGCATGCTCTATAATCTACATAAATTGAAGGAACTGTTAGTGTTTGTGGCATTAGGTTCTTATCAAGACATTTTGATGTCAAGTCCTGCTGCTATTTACGTACTTCCATATTCTGGTTTCTGCAGTGATGTCAGTTCTAATAACATAATGGGCGAAATACCATTCAGTTTACCCCCCAATGCCACACATATGTAAGCCAACTGCTCTTCTCACCTTGTTCCTGCAGGACCAAATTCTATGCTTTCAGATAGGCATACCTATACTTACAGCTGTGTGTTGTTAGTTGTTCTCATGATTCTTTATGGCAGAAATAAGGCTTGCATTCTTGCAACTATTTGAACCAAAATATCCCACACTCATTGGCAATCATAAAAAACTATGGCATCTGTGAGTTACATTGGTATAAAATGGAACTTTGTTCATCGGAAAAGTACCCCACTTGCAATTCAGTCCCTGATTTAAAATTTTGTGCTAGATTCAGTCTAAATTATTTAAACTAATTGCATATTACTCCTCATCAGAGATTGTAAGAGGAATATCATGAAAAGAGTTTAAACGATTTAAGGACTGAATCATACACAAAACTTAAATCTGTTTAGACCAAGCTTGATAGAGATAATAATACATGGGAACATTCTTTAAACAAAAAATCAATTGAAAATATATTTCTTCATATTTTCTCATCTCTTTTGAGCATGATGTAGTGATTGAGCTTTACTAATGGCTGTGAAATCATCGTTGTTGTCTTGCAGGAATTTAAGCCACAATTTCTTAAATGGACCCATTGGTGATGTATTTACTGGCTTAGATAATCTCAAAGAAATGTATGTCTTCGTCTCCTGGATCCTTTGGTATTGCATTTGAATTTAATTAAATGAAGAAGTGACTCAACTTGTACAAAACTTTAGGTACTTGAAACCTTAATTTTTCTGGATCTGTGAGAGCAAAGTACAATCTGAACCTTCCCAACTTTTGAATATTCATTAATGGATCAAATAGAATGTTTAACACTATAACTATATAAAATATAATAAATAAAAGAAAATCATTCAACCCAAAAGTAGTGATAAATAAAAATAATTTTTTTTTCTAAGGCAAGATGAAGTGAAGCACTCGAATAAGATGATATAAAGAAAATTGATCTGAATCATCTGATTGAGTAGTGAGACGACAAAATGCAGTTGCTTTGATTGTTTTGTTCAAATTTCATTGTATGGAACCTCACAAAGGATGATTTTCTTTCTTCAGGGACCTTTCATACAATAATTTCTCGGGAGATCTACCAAGTTCATTTGGTTCCTTAACAAACCTTGCTAGATTGTAAGTTGCTTCTTTCTCACACCTTTTCTTCTTTTTTTTGCTAACCTTGATTTGTGTTTCATCAAATATTCAAGGGAAAGAACTTTTCTTTTATTAGGGTTTGTTGGTTTGATCTGTGGAGTGGTTGTGCTTATTTGCAGGTTCCTGCATAATAACAGATTCACTGGATCAGTTGCCTACCTGGCTGAACTTCCACTTATAGATTTGTAGGGTTATCTCTAACATTTTCCCGACTGTATTTACAGTTCTATTATTTGCTCATTTTTCTAAGTTGCCAGGAACATTCAAGATAATCTGTTTAGTGGCATTCTTCCACAGCGTTTTCAGTCCATACCGAATTTATGGTTAGTAACAACTATTACGTGTTTTGATCACCTATAGTTACTTGCATAAAATGAAACAGTGAACAAATAACATCGAATGATCATCCTCTATACCCTCAACTAGGATTGGAGGGAACAAATTCTATACAGCAGATTACTCTCCTCCCTGGACTTTTCCTTTGGACACTGTACCAGTTGAGCATAATATCAGTCGCCCACCCACAACACAGGCAAATGCCATCAAGAACTATGCTCCTCCTAAAGTGAGTGAGTACAAGAAGAAACATATAGGCCCTGGAGGAATAGCTTTTATGGTTGGTGGAGGAACAATAATGGCCACAGGTGTGGCACTCGTTGTTGCAATCCGTTTGAATAAACTGCGTGCACAGAGCCCGAACTTGAAGAGCTCGGAAAGCAACCATTGCTCTTTGCATTCTCATCCGACCAGTGCAACCATAGGTAATTCATACAGGAATGCATATAGATCGTGAGGCACTCTACATCCCATTTGTCATGATTGCAAACTGAGGGACCTTGAGAAAATCTAGAATAAATATAAAAGAAAATTTTGATATTATATTGTAAATTCACTTCTTGTATGTAATAATCGAATAGCTACCTCTCTGGGTTAGTATGCCATTCCATTTAGAATTTCTGTTAATTCATTTCTATCGTTAACCATGCTTTCTGTTTTTTCCCCTCTGGTGATAGAGGTCTCTTCTACAGCAATAGATGACAGCCCACAAATCCCATCTTTTAATGCAGCATCCCTTTTGAGTCCAATGCTATGGCCTTCCCTGCAACATAACAATGCAGAGGAAGCATCAAGAAGAAGTTTTTCCATAGGAGGCAAATCCACTGGAAGGACGAAAATTTACACAGTAGCCGAGCTTCAGTTGGCTACTAGCTGCTTCAATGAAGGCAACCTTCTGGGAGAGGGATCTCTTGGCCCTGTATACAGAGCTGGATTTCCGGATGGCAAAGTACGATCTTAAGTTATCTTTTAAAGACTAAAGTCTTCTTCTTTTTATCACGATCAGGTTTCAAACCGTTGCTTTCAAATTATATATCTTTTTTTTTTTTTTTTTTTGAAGATTTTGGCCGTGAAGAATATAAACATGGCGGGCCAGTCCTTCAGAAAAGAGGAAAAGTTTTTGGATGTCATTTGCACGGCTTCGCGACTGAAGCACCCCAACATCGTAGCACTCAATGGTTACTGTCTGGAGCGCGGAAACCATCTTCTTGTTTACGATTACGTCAGAAATTTAACTCTAAACGATGCTCTTCACAGTGAAACATACAAACCTCTATCGTGGATCCACCGTCTCCAGATTGCTGTAGGTGTTGCTCAGGCTCTGGAGTAAGTTCCATTTTGCCACTCAAGTTTAATAGCTTTTAATAAGAAAGTAAGAATCCTAATTCTCGGCTTCTGGCCATTATGTTTCAACTCTTTAAAAGTCACGCAAACGTTTTCAGCTATTTGCACTCAGCCTGCCCTCCTGTGGCCCACGGAAACTTGAAGGCTGCCAATGTTCTACTGGACGAAAATTTGATGCCTCGTGTTAGTGACTGTGGCTTGGCTATTTTAAGACCACTGAGGAGCAATCAAGTTAAAATTCCAGTAAGTCGTAGCTAAGGTTCTAGTGGCTGAAGTTATACCTAGCATTGAGCTATCGTTCCACTAGCTAAGTTGATGAATATGTGTTGAAAGTTGTTTTGTAAGAGTATTGAAGATAAGGTGATGTGTTCCTTATATTTCAGGAAGAGTGATGGTCCTTTATTAGGTGTAGTAGCAAAAAGCTGCTTAAATTTTATAAACCAGCTGCTGCGAAGTGAATCAGAAGCTTGGCAGTTGGCAATGATCTTCATAAATATGTCCGTTGCAGACATAGGTTCATTGATTACTTTTTTGATTGTTGGAAACAGGCTACTGAGATTATTCTTGGAGAGAGAGGCTACGCTGCACCTGACCATGGCCAACCAGGAACCAGCAGCAGAAAGAGAGACGTCTATGCCTTTGGGGTATTGCTTCTGGAAATGTTAACAGGAAGGAAACCTTTCGATGGGTATGTTTTTCATCTTTCTTGCGGCGTTCCTTTTGTTTTATCTTTCGGCCCATTCGCTCACCTAAAAGGGAGCCAGGGTAGTTACATGGATTGAATAATATTGGCCTCTATTCTTTCAACACAGTTCCAAGCCAAGGGAGGAGCAATATCTGGCGAAATGGGCTTCATCTAGGCTTCAAGATAGCGCGAGTTTGGAACAGATGGTGGATCCCAATATGAAAAGGACATTTTCATCCAAGGCCCTTTCTCGTTATGCTAAAATCATCTCCCTCTGTATACAGGTATTAGCACCAAAATGGTACAAGTTAAACTCGTTAAGAAATTTAATTTACTCAATGGTTGTATGTTGCCATTTTGGTTCTTAATTGAAGTCTGTCTCTCTTTCCTACAGCCTGTAAGGCAGTTCCGTCCTCCAATGTCTGAAGTTGTGGAGTCTCTTGTATCTTTTTCGCAAAAGTTCAACACTGCAAAGAGCCGTGTAGCAGATGGTTCTGAACTTGATCCATTGGAGAGGTCTTTTCGTTCAACCAACACACGCTTTATTGGTTCACCGGCATTGAGCCGCCATGTATCACCATGATGTACAATATGAAAGGGTGACATATAAGCTACACACTTACAATGCAGATTACTACATGAATTAGCTTGATTCGCCTGTGGAAAGCGCAAACTCCCCCAGTTTTTTCAGCTCCCTTGTTTTGCCATTGCATAACCCCTGCGATTTACACATCACTTTCATTCTCTTATACAAGTGCTGCCCTTCTCACTTAAGGTTTTCACTAAAGAAATTTACATTCATGTACCTCTTCGACTATATTAAAATTTATGAATGATTATGCAAAGAGAAATACGTACAAAAATTTCAGATGCATTCTGACAAGAGTAAAGGGGGAAAAAACGAATGAATAAGTATTTTGCAAAGTTGCATGATCAAAGAACTCTTTCTCTGTTTTTTTTTTTTTGGCCTGGGGTGGGGAATATAGATGACCAGATTTAGCTACAGTACTACCTAATTTTTTTAAATACATCCGTCTTACAGTTTATTCAATGAGCTAGCCAATAAAAAATGGAGAGAGGGATGTAACTCGCACAGAAGAAAAAAAGAAAAAACAGAAAATTTCATATGTGAAATCTTGAAAGGAACATCCACCTAAGATCCACTTAAGAATAGTTAGCATAAATTAAGAGTAATTAATTCAAAAAAATTAAAATATTTAATAATTGAAATCATTCACCAATTAGATAAGTAATTATTATTCAATATTTTTTATTACTCAATCAAAAAAAATCTTGGAATATTTATGAAGTTGATTTGAAAGAAGTTTTATGTCACATATTAAAGCAAAGCAAATATTTTATTCAAAATAGATGTCACAATTTAAAATATTATTTTAGTTATTGTAACATCCTCTGTAACTAACTAATATAGATAATATTATATTATTTCTTAAATTATACTTAGAGAAATATAAATATAAATAGATAATACAAACTTTTTCAAGTTACTTGATACATGGTACCAAGTTAGATACATATATTTTACATTCAACTATTCTATATCAGATTTTACATCCTAAGTTATTTCATATTAGTACAATACATATATTACATTTCTAATTACTTAAAGTTACAAATTTATACATTATATAAGCCTTATTCAGTCTAATCTATAGGTATAAACTTCTATACTATTCGGATGAAATATAGCTTCCAACAATCTTCATAAAAGTAAATAGTAATAGTTCATCCTTCACCGGAAATGCATAAACTAGGCTGATACAATCAGGCCCAAGACTTACAAAAGGGACAATGTAAGAAGTGCATGGATCCAAGATAAGCAAGGCTCAAATGCCACAGAAGAGCAACTCTCAGATAATGACATGTCATCAGTAGGAAGTCCCAAGAATACCCCTTAACTGAATGGTGCGTACAGTGCCATTAGTTGGTTATATGGAGAGTGGGAAGGAACGGAAGAAGGGGGTTGAATATTGGAGAAGCAAGTGCTTGGGAGAGTGTGGGACCTCTAGAATTGTCTCACTGTTATCTTTTCTTTTACATTGTAATTTGCTGGTTTGGCTTTGATGTAATTTTCCTTTAAGATGGACAAATCTATGTTTCAAAGTGTTCTTTTACATCTGAATAATACAAAAGAGTGTTAATATATCTGTTTTCCTTGTTGATTTGGATAAATATTGGATTGTTTTGTGAAAAAAGTAACAAATTGGTATCAGAGCTCCGATCTAGGAGCTCTGTGGAATGGTAATAACGCGACAAATGGAACACCGAATGGATTTGATCGAGGAAGGACTGTGCAGAGGGTGTGCGAGGCAGGAAGAAGTTCTATTGAGTCTGGATGCAAATGACGCTAGACATGACGAACTGCTACGTAGATTGGGAGCAAATGAATTGGGTATGACCGATATACTCCGTCGGTTAGACGAGATGGAGGAGAGGAGACGCGGACAATCTCGCGACAGAGATAATGATGAGGAGGAAGGTTCAGGTCACTACGAAAGAAGGAATTGGTGGAGGATTAATATGAATTTCTCAACTCACCGACGCCTGGAGGTTCCCACGTTTTCAGGTGAGGATGCCTTTGGGTGGTTGAGTAAAGTGGAAAGTTACTTTGTAGTAAATGGGGTCACCGAAGCTGAGAAAGTGAATTCTGTGTTGGTTGTGTTGGAAGGGGAGGCTCTTCACTGGTTCCATTGGTGGGAGGTGAGCCATCCGAATGTGACTTGGGGAGTTTTCCGGCGAGAAATAATCAGCCGATTTCAATCGGAGGCCCTGGACAACCTATACCGGGCATTATACACGGTCAAACAAAATGGGAGTGTAACCGAATTTCGTGCCCAATTTGAGAAGATGGTTGGGGCTTTTCGTTTTGAAGATGAAGATCTGCTCAAAGGAGCCTGGCTCAACGGAGTTCGTACCAGTATCAGAGAAGAATTACTTATGTTACCGGAGCTCAGTCTGACGGAGATGATGAAGTTATCCATCAAAGTGGAGAGACGCAACGCGGCTTGGAAGGAAGAAGGACTAGGGCCCTTGGGGAGGAATTGGGCAACTGGACCAAATCGGTTATCATTAGGCCAAGCAAGAAATTCAGGCCCATATGAAAGTAAGACATGGACAACCCAAAACTTGAACCCAGGAGTGAGTAACAGGGCTAACTCCACTCAATCCTTCACCGGGTCTAGTCAAGCGAGTGTGGGTCAAGTGAATACCCATCGTGGGAACCCTAGCGAAGGGACGAACACGAAGACGATGACCCCGGGTGCTGAAATTCGCGCCGGAGAAAACGATACCGGTCAGGTGAGGAGGCTGTCAACCGCGGGATGGCGTGACCAGAAAAACAAGGGCTTATGCTTTAAGTGTGGGGATCGTTGGCACTCAAACCACAAGTTCCAAGTTCGTCAGTTGCATTTGCTGTTGGTGGACGACGAAATCGGGGAAGAAGGCGAGAGAGAAAGGGAAGAAGTTGAGGTAGTTCCGGTTGTGGACACAGGTGAGCTGGAAAAACCGCTGCTATTCTCTTTACAAAGCCTGTTAGGGCTCTCTTCAAGCCAAACACTTAAGGTATGGGGGGAGATCAGAGGTCAGCAGGTGGTGGTTATGGTGGATTGTGGGGCATCAAGCAATTTTATAAAGAGGGAGATGGTAGAAAAAATGGGGTTGGACATTTTTGATACTCCATCTTATCATGTAGAAATCGAAAATGGATGTAAGGTGGGATGTAAAGGGGTTTGTCATGGGGTCAACATCAATATTCAGGGGACCCAAATCAAACAAGATTTGTATCTCTTTGAGTTGGGTAGTGCTGATGTAGTGTTGGGGTTGGAATAGCTCACTCAATTGGGGGAAATCAAAGCAAACTTCAAGGAGATGACTCTCAAATATGGAGAAAGGGGGAAGGAGACCACCATTAAAGGAGATTCTTCGCTGTCTAGGTCGGGAGCTTCATACAGATCCATCACTAAGGCTTTAAAGAATCAGGCACATAGATTTTATGTAGATTCGACAGAAGAAGAGGATCTGGAAGATGAAGCACAGTGGGCTGAGATAGATCAGCTGCTTTCTGAATTTGAGGAGGTTTTCCAGGAACCCAAGGAGCTGCCACCAGCTCGAGCCATAGATCATGCAATACACCTCAAAACAGGGAGCCAGGTGCCCAATATTCGTCCATTCAGGTGCTCAATAGCAAAGCCTCTTACGGAGTTATTAAGGAGAGATGGTTTTCAATGGAATAAGGAGGCCGATGATAGTTTCCATCAATTGAAGTTGATGATGAGCTCAGTACCAGTGTTGGCTCTACCGAATTTCAACAAGCAATTTACAGTTGTCACTGATGCATCGGGGAAGGGGATTGGAGCGGTTCTCACTCAGGATAATAAACCGATTGCATTTATGAGCCAAGGATTCTCCACTCGGGCTCAAACCAAATCTGTATACGAGAAAGAACTCATGGCCATAGTGTTTGCAGTCAAGAAATGGAGGCATTACCTCATGGGTAATCATTTCATTATCAAGACAGACCAAAGGAGCCTGAAGTTTCTTACTGAACAGCAAATTCTGAGTGAAAATCAACAGAAATGGATATCCAAACTGATGGGGTTTGACTTTGAGATTCAATACCAACCAGGGAAGGACAACCAAGTAGCTGATGCCTTGTCCAGACAAATGATTTTTGCAGCTTTGTCTACGGTGCAGTGGACAGCTTTGGATGATTTAGGAAGGGAGGTACAGCAGGATGCAAGACTGCAGGGGATCGTTCAGGACTTGCTGATCGCGCCTGATGCACATAAAGGATTCTCCAGGAAAGGAGGGAAGCTCTTTTATAATGGCAGGTTGGTTTTTCCTAAATCCTCTAATTTTATCCCTTCCTTATTGAAAGAGTACCATGATTCTGGGGTCGGTGGCCACTCCGAGTACTTTCGCACGTACAAAAGGTTGGCTGAAGTGGTCTATTGGGAAGGGATTATGTGGCTGGTTGTGATATCTGTCAACAGTGTAAGTCCCTCAATCTGACCCCGGCTGGGCTTTTACAACCACTGCCTATTCCAACTCAAGTTTGGGAGGATATATCCTTAGACTTCATTGGGGGACTCCTAAAATCAAGGGGAGTTGATACTATATTGGTTGTAGTTGACCGGTTCACCAAATATTCTCACTTCATCCCCCTCAAACATCCATATACGGCTAAGGAGGTGGCTGAATTATTTGTCAAAGAGATAGTAAGGTTACATGGCTTTCCTGCCATTATTACTTCAGACCGTGACAGAGTCTTTTTAAGTCATTTTTGGACTGAACTCTTCAAGTGTGCAGATACCAAGCTCCATTATAGCACAGCGTATCATCCTCAAACCAATGGCCAAACAGAGGTGGTTAATCGTTGTCTTGAGGCCTATCTACGATGTTTTTACTGCACCAAACCCAAGGAATGGCCCAAATGGGTTCCTTGGGCTGAATTTTGGTATAACACGACGTTCAAAGATGCAACGGACATGACCCCGTTTAGAGCTTTGTATGGCAGGGATCCGCCGACTTTGTTCAAGTGTGGGACGTTTATTCCTTCAGTTG